TCATACAATAGTTGACTATAAAAATATACTACCCATTAATACTCAGTCCCACCTCTCATACACATATAATATCTTGGAGTTCATGTTACAACTGGCGACAAATCTGTAATCCGCTTTCTCTCTCTTCTTTTTTCTTCTTGATATGTGGTTATAGTTGGCTTATAGCCTTAGCTATTGTACCTACTCTTATAGGATTGATCCCGTCGATACATACTCCCTCTATTTCAGATTAGAGCATGTACAATAATAGCAGGCTATAAACCAGCTATAAACACATTTCGAAGAGATAAAAGAGAAGAGAGAAGGGCAGTGGGCTACATATTTGTAGCCAGCTGCAGCACGGACTCTAAGGTACATGTGTGTATAACAGGTGGGACCAGATATTAATTATGTAGTATATGTTTATATGTAACTATTGTATGAATTGGTCATTAAGTTAACTACGGATGATTTGAAGGCAGCAGATGGCTATACTATTAAACTTGCTCCTAAGGTCCATTCGACCGTGCATCTGCGATCCTCACGCGTGCAAACGTAATTAGCGGTAGCGTCCAGGATTAATTAGGCAATGTATTTAGAAAACATCCAACTATCTAATTAATTAAACTTTTGATTTTAATCCCAAATATATAGGGCGATTCGTTATAATTCTTTTATCTTAAAAAAATCGGAAATTTTAATCCTAAAATTTTGTCACCTAAATACGTTGCCAAAATATGCCACTTATTATTTTAGGTATACTTTTTTCATTCTAGTAAAAAGTTGGATAGTAATTTTTTTACTATTATTGTAAAAGTTTCTCAATATAATTTTTTATTTATGTATAAAGTTTATCAATCATTTTTTTACATATAAAGTTTATAAATGAAAATATTTTATCTACATAGAAAATTTATGAATCTATTTTTTTTGTTTATTTATAAAGTATATCAACATAAATGTTTTCTTTTATGTATAAAGTTTATTAATGAAAATATTTTATATATGTAGAAATTTTATGAATATAAATTTTTATTTACATGCAAAGTTTATGATGATTCATATATAATTTCAAGTAGATGGAGTTTACAATTTAAGCTTATTTCTATTTGAAAATAGAAGTTTCGGAATCTAACATATCAAAAATGTTGATAAGAAGGTTTTCGTATCAGGATGCGTCTTCCCTGTCCCGATACCCTGTTCCTGGCGACGTGTCATCTTCTTATTCGCTGGGTCTTTTCTGGTGGGCCAGTACGCATGCGCTCCTCTTTCACTTAAACGGCGTCAACGTCCCGTGTTATACTATCACAATTAATTTGGAAACAACGCAATTTAAGCGCTAACAAAAATATGGCGCCAAGCAAATAAAATTAGTGGCGGGAAAAAGGATTAGAGCGGTACATAAGTACAAATACACAGTTATTTTATTTTCATCTACACAGATTGCGTCTCCACACTAACAAGAACTCTCCCAAATCTTGGCACCATGCTAGATGAACTCCCGATTCCTAGACCAATGCCATCACAATTGCAGAATACAGTAACATGCGGTACGTTCGCATTCTTGGATGATACTTCTGCCCCATCATCATCATCATCAAATCCTGCTGAGTCCACATATCCCTCTGATGGCCTGGGAAGAAATCAATTAGAAGCTGTAAGATCCCTATATATTCTCCTTTACATTTTGTTAAATTAGTTGCATCTAAACTGTAAGATCCGGACATGTGCACGTGCATATGAACAACTATATTCATCGTTCCTTTTTTTTTTTTTGCAATTTTTTGATGGAAACTATTACCACAGATAAAACTAGGATGAAGGAACAAATGAAGCTTCTCATACAATAAAATATCTGGAAGACTTGGTGCCAAAGATTGGCATGAAATTTAGCTCTGAACAAAAAGCTTATCGACTTCTACAATGATTATCTTAAGAAAGGTTTCAGCATTAGAAGAAGCAGCTATCATTACATGGGAAATACTAAAATTATAAAAAACATGACATTTTGTTGTTCTCGTCAAGGTAAATTCTTTGTTTCTTTTTATAGTTACATTAACTTTCAATTAGAGACATTTTGTTTCAATTAGTGCACTGTATTAACAGGAAGTAGAGGTACTGACAAAAGAGCAGAAGCTTCAGGCTATGGCGATAGTTATAGTAGGCCAGAAACTCGATGCAAGTGTCAAGCATGTATGAAGATAAGTCTCATAGATGGATTCTATTCTATCTATCACTTTGTGCCTGAACATAACCATAATCTTGCCACTAGAAGTCAGGCTCATCAGTTACGATCACAAAGGAAGATTAATGAAGCTCAAGTTGCAAGCGTTGAAGTCGCAAAATCCGTAGGGATTTCTACTAAAGCAGCTATTGATTTGATGGCAAAACAAGCTTGTGGATTTGAGAATCTCGGGTTTACTCGTGTTGACATGAAGAATAAATTATACTCCAAGAGGTCCCTACAAACCAAACAAGGTGATACTGGAGGAGTGTTAGAATATATGGAGAAGAAAGCATCAGAAGATGTCAAGTTTTTTTATTCTATTCAGGTTGATGAGGATGACTTAATTACAAACATTTTCTGTGCTGACTCTAAAATGGTTGCCGACTATGAAAATTCTGGTGATGTTGTATGCTTTGACACAACATATAGAAAGTTGGATGACGGACGACCTTTTGGTTTGCTTGTAGGAGTGAATAATCATAAGAAGACTACTGTTTTTGGTGCTGCTCTTCTATATGATGAGACCGCTAATAGTTTTGTTTGGTTATTTAAAACTTTTCTAAATATTATGTCAGGAAAGAAGCCAAAAACAATTTTGACAGATGAAGATGGAGCTATGGCTAAAGCAATTAAAATAGTTCTTCCAGAAACTCATCATCGGATATGTGTATGGCACATGAATCAGAATGCCTGCAAGCACCTTGCTGGGTGTGTTAAGGACTATAAGAAATTTAATGCTGACTTTCAGAACTGCATATATGATCAGGAAGAGGAAGAAGAATTTTTACGTGCATGGGGCCAATTGCTTGAAAAATATGAGCACCAGCAAAATACATGGTTGTAACGGATTTTTAAGAAAAGGGAGCAATGGGCATTAATATATGGCCAGAACATGTTTTCTGCGGATATGAGTACCACCCAAAGAAATGAAAGCCCGAATAATGAATTAAAGGGTTATATTAGTGTGAAGTATGGCATGCTTTCTTTTCTTGAGCACTTTGACAGATTGGTGGGAGATAAAAGATATGAAGAGGTAAAGTGTGACTTTAGAGCAACACAAAGTACACCGAAGCTAAAGGCAGAGTTGAGAATTTTGAGAGATGTAGCAGAAGTTTATACTCCAGCAGTTTATAAGATATTTGAGGAAGAGGTAATGCAGACTTTGAATTGTGACATATTCTACTGTGGTGAGGTTGATGCAGAAAAGGTGTACAAAATAAAGGCCAACGGTAAATGCATCTTGAACATGTTCATCTTGAACATGTTGTTAGATACTCTCCGTTGGAATCCAATGTTAAATGCAGTTGCAAGAAGTTTGAATTTGCTGGCATCTTGTGCTCTCATGCACTGAAGATACTTGACGTCAACAACATCAAATCAGTTCCTCAACAATACTACCTCCGTTTTTTAATAGATGACGCCATTGACTTTTTCTCACATGTTTGACCATTCGTCTTATTCAAAAAATTTACGTAATTATAATTTATTTTGTTATGAGTTGTTTTATCACTCATAGTACTTTAAGTGTGATTTATATCTTATACATTTGCATAAAATTTTTGAATAAGACGAATGGTCAAACATGTGAGAAAAAGTCAACGACGTCATCTATTAAAAAACGGAGGGAGTATATATTAAAAAGATGAACAATTGATGCAAAAGCACTGCATATAAATGGCAACAGCAATATGCATGATGACCCTAGAATAAAGATATCAGATCGATACTCCTCATTGTGTAGAATGTTTGTTCGAATAGCTTCTACAGCTGCAAAATCTGAAGAAACATACTCCATGTCTACTAATTGTGTTGAAAAATTGGCAGAAGATATAGAGAAGTTCTTGAGAATCAGAAGTGATCTAGATTTGGACGATGTTAGCATCGATCACATCATGGACCTTCTAGATCCAAGCTCATGCACTTTGATGCAGCTGGACATTGATTAATTTGCACGAGCTGAACCATGCATCAGCTCCAACTCAGCGGCAAGGCGCTTGATCAGTGGTGGCGAGCTCGAGACAATCGACTGCTCGGGCAAGCGGTGCTCGAGCTCACCCGTAAAGCGGCGGAATCTGGCGGAGTTCATCTAGGTCAAGGTGGGGAATTTTTATTTTGTTGTAGTAATAGTAGATCAGCGGCATGGAGAGAGAGGAATTAATAATGTATATGATACCTTCTGTTGGGGGAGGGAAGGGATATGTTACGCCGTTGTGGGAAAAAAGAACGGAGACGTTGACGCCGTTTAAGTGAAAGAGAAGCGCATGCGTACTGGCCTACCAGAAAAAACTCGGCGAATGAGAAGATGACACGTCGCCAGGAACAAGCGTATCGGGACAGGGAAGCCGCACCCATATCAAATACTAGAAAATTTCACTTTATCTTTGGAATTTTTTCAGTATAATAGAATGAATGTATTTTCTTAATATTTAGTAAAGCAGCCTAACTGTAATCACGCGAAACCCTCAAACTGATCGCACGCTTTAATTTGCATGTATGCAGAAGTTCTTTTGGTCCTCAAACTATTTAGGCGCATATGCATGCGCATTAATTTGTTTTTTCCTGGATTAACTGGTCAATAGCCGTGGTAATTAAACATCAAAATATAATTATCGGCGTGCAGGCTGAAAGTGTACTCGCGGCAGTAGAAATTAACATGCGAATGCGCCTACGTTATAGGGATAGATGGATTGACCAGATCGATCCAGTCGATTATCCCGGCTGCTGAAAAGGGCCGCTCCTGCATTCTCATTAGATAGCCGATCCTCCCTATAAATATAGGTACATCCACACTCATTAGCATCACAAAGTAGCTAGATTTCATTCCTAGCTAGAGTGCATTTAGGGTTATATCGATCTAATCATTTCTCCCTTGCCAATTAAGTCTCCATCGATCGGTAAATCAGCTATGGAAGCGAGAAAAGCCAGTGTTGTTTGCTGCATCTTACTGCTTGTGTTAGCACTTGGAGGTCCTGCTTCTGCCACAGGTTCATCTTAATTCTCCCTCAACCCATTTGATTTCATCTTTCGAAGAAACTGCATGCGTTCTATATGCTCTGAATTTTATTTGTTTTCTTGAGCGGTTCTCTATAGATATCTGTCAGTGATGAGATTATAGGGGACAGTTTACAATTAATGTTTCATGTGATTTAATAAATGATAAGCTAGATTATTTTATAAGCTAGCATCTAATGAGTTCTTTCTCTTTGTAGATTATTGCTACAAAGCCATTGGCAAGCTGATCGTCTGCGTGGGTCCTACGTGCAAGTTGGACTGTTGGCTTGAGGCGAAATACAATAAAGGCAGAGTCAAGCGTCACAAGTGCATGAAACATGGCATATTTGCCAAATGTTACTGCGAAATCTGTGTTACATTTTGAGGGAATCGATCGACAATTTGTAAAAGTCTTTAGTTGATTTAGTCTCGTGTAATAATCTAGTACGTTGTTTGCTAGCTAGTTTCTTTTAATAATTGATTAGTTTTGGGAGTTGCTTTTGTTTGGATATAGGATATGTGATTATTTAATTTCTTCCTCCAATGTATCAGTTATCACTGTACTCTCATTCAAGATTTTTTTTAAAATAAAGTATAAGTGATAATTGCATTATAATTTTAATTAACTAAGATATCCTCATCGTTTGGCATATTCATATGCTTATCAGCCAAAATTTGAATTTTCAACGTTAAATTTGGAGCTGATTTTGGGGTTTTTTCATCAAAGTTTATTTTTCAGCCTTTGCTTTTAGATCACTAAGAACACAATATAAAAGTTTTATTCACAAATTACTTTTCGTTTGCAAATATGCCATTTGGCTTATTCCACCAATATACCAAACGATGGCACCCTAACATTCTATGAAATGTAATTTTGTGAGACATATATATGCCTCTTAACAAATGTAGCATATATAGCGTTTGTCAACACAAGTAAACTGAATTACAATTATTCTTCTTCCCTTACGTTTGACATACCTCTATTTCACAGTATTACAATATTAACATCGGCCTTTATCACGATCATTAAAAGTTTGTGAAATGTAATCCTGTAAATTGTACCTTACATTTGACATAACACTAATTTTGTTGATCTCATTGATCATGCCTCGTAGCCACACAAACAGTGTGCAGATTTGCAGTGTAGTGATAAAATTGCTCGCTACTGATCGAAATTTGCAACATGATAGGCTAAAGTTGTAACAAAATTACGGTTTTAACGAAATGGCTACATTTGTATGAAATTTCACTGAGAAAAAGAATCTCAATGGACTGCGCTTATACTCTCAAACCTGTGGTGAGTGATTGCTTTTTCTCTTGGTGGTAAAGCACGATAATTTAATTAGTTATTCGAAATAAAAAGTATAACAATGCAAGGGCCAGATTGCGATTGTTGTGCTATCCTGTGATTATTTTTTTCATCTGCCACGGAAGAAGTAGTTGTGGAACTTAATCAGTAACTCTGTCTGGCAGATCACATTAAAATCTAACAAGGTAAGGCGAGGAAGGTTAAGAACAACTACATCTGCATGCATGCAAAGCCTGTTGACCAAAGTGATTTTAAATGTGAATTTTACCGATCTTTACAAACATCAAGTCAGATAGTCAAACGGTAAAATACTACGACTAAAAAGTGGTTTCACCACCAGGATTGTTCACCGGAATACTAAACATGCCTTGATAGAGATGAAAGAGCGAGAGATGATAATAAAATTATTATTTTTGTTATTTTAATTCATGGCAATGAATTTTTGTCCGTAGTGCGCCATACGAACGTGTCAGAATTATAATACCTCCGTTCTGTAATTGAAATACTAGAAGCTTATTATGAACAGTATCTCAAAGAATTTGATATTAAAGGGAGTTACCATGGTAACCGTATAAAACCGTGTAAAATCCGTCTTCAAATATTTGAATTCAAAAATCAACGGTTTCAGCGTGGTTTCTCGCGGTAACCGCAATATTTGCGCAGTTATCGTCAAGTGTCTAGCAAAAAATTGAAAAATCACTTAAATGTGTCTAGAAATTGGGTATAAATAAAAGAATATATAGGATATTTGTAAACCTAACTTTTAGGTGTAAAATACAAAAATTCAGCATAACATTTTCTATATTATGGATTTCGAAGCAATTCAACAACAATCTAATGTACTTTCGGTTTCGCTCTCAAATTTGAACTTATCTTACTCCTTTTCAAAACATTTCTTCACCATCTACCACTACAAATCAAGAACTATATCCATAATTTTTTTCGGAATTTTGAATTTGGGTATAATTTATCAAACCCTACTGCCGGTAACCCTTACGGTACCCCTGATCACGATCAATACAATTAACAAAGAAATTAATAGCATGTTCAAACACAAATACACTGCGTATATTCGATAAACTGGTGGTGCTGGGCTCTAGCTAGCTTTCACCGGTAATGAGAAACCAAAATACTCAAGGGATTTTCTTTAGAAAAATGCCACTTGGTAGTAACAACTTGTAGCTGAAAATCTATTATCTATCTATCTATCTATCTATCTTCTATCTATCTATTATCTATTATATACTAAAAGTCCATTAAACTTTCTCGAAACGCTCTCAAGCCGCCACTTGGCGCTCTAATAAATTAGAGAAAATCATAAAAAAACTGAGAAAAAAAATAAAACATCTATCCATCGATTTTCACTTAAATCGGTGGGTCCAATATTATAAACCGTTAGATTAGATCTCTTAAAACAAACAGATGACCCACCAACCTCCTCCTCCCTTACATATCTCACTATTCCTTCCTTCCGTTCAGTATGAACGTACGTACGTATTTGACCTTCTTTTTTTTCTTTTTCCATGTATGTATATGAGACAATAATAATTATTATCAGTGATAATAAATTTTAAATAATAGTTACCTTACGAGCATTCAATATATCAGCATAGAACTCTTCACAAACATATATAGATAAATTAGCTCTATAATACTTGAAAATAAAGTTTAGACCCATTATATTATATTATGTGCCCATTATTTTAGACTACATTTATTAATAAAAGTATTTTTCCATCAATTTTCACTTAAATTGGTAGACATATTATTTAGACCATAAAATCTATCTTTTGTTAGAAAAACAAAGCCTCCAATCCTAAAAGTTTGAGAAAAAAAATAACATCCTGCTAATAATCACTCCTCCTGATCAATCCGGCAAATCACTCATCCGATCTCTAATACGTAAATACATACTCCCTCCGTTTCAAAATGTTTCATACCGTTGACTTTTTAGCACATGTTTGACCGTTCATCTTATTAAATAAATTTGTAAAATATGTAAAACTATATGTGTATATTAAAGTATATTTAACAATGAATCAAATGATATGAAAAGAACAAATAATTACATAAATTTTTTGAATAAGACGAATGGTCAAACACGTACTAAAAAGTTAACGATGTCAAACATTTTAAAACGGAGGGAGTAGTTCGTATGTACGTGTTGTGTGTCAAAAAAGATTAATACGTTCGGCCGACAAATTCTCTCATTGGATTATTATATTAAAAAGGCTAATTCAAAAGTTGTATTCCTGGCAATTAAACCAACAATTTTAATACCCGCATATGTTGTGAAAAAGACTAACATGTTAACTTAGATTATTGCTCTTTTTTACACCATCCAATTACTCATAAAAGTATACAAAACAAAATTTACCGTGTAGATTATTAAGTATAGAACTTCATAAATATGCATAGCCAAAATAACAACAATGAAAAACCATGTATATTTTGAAAAAAAGACATGCGGACCTATACTTTGCTTTTGTGTACCATCAAAGAGCCTCAATTATATAATAAAAGTCTATTAAACTTCTATGAACTATGCTCTAATAAATTAGGGAAAATCCTAGAAAGTCTAAAAAACACAAACATCTATCAGATATAGCAAATTGTTTAAATCACTTTACAAACAAGCATAACTCAATTAGCTTTACCGCATTTTAAAACAAAGTTTACATAATTATATTATTTACCATTAAATTAATAATTTATTATGTATATTTACTATATTTCAACTTGTAAAGGGAAATTATATTTTAGATAGCATTTTTATTCCTTTCATGTAATCCAATGCAAACGGATATGAAAATTATGGAAAATATGACAATATAAATTATATCACTATATATCGGTTATCAGTTCACAAATCTTGGTACTTTGCATGGCATTGGAGATTTGACAAATCATGAAAAAAAATAATGGATGTAGATTATATCATCGTATAAGTATGCTTATATATAGGGTCCATACTATTGATCCATATATACCGGGATAACCTATAATGTATCAATCATATTTACCACTACCATTGTTATACGTTTTAGAGACTATATTAATCCTCTAAATAATAACAAAATAATAGACGAAGTACAAGCCATGTTTTCTCTCTCTTTGCTTTCTATTAAGTACGCATGGTATATGGGAACTTCATACTAAGACTGTGTTCGGGAGGAGGGGCACGCAAATCAAAGCTTGTATTATTGCATGATTAATTAAGTATTAACTATTTTTTAAAAAAAAGATTAATATAATTTTTTAAAACAACTTTCATATAGAAAGTTTTTGCATAAATCACACCGTTTAGCAGTTTGAAAAACGTGCGCACGGAAAACGAAAGAGATGGGTTGGGAAAACGGGAGGAAGAACACAGCCTTAAGATTGGTTTATTAGGGAAATCATACTAAACTTATTTATGAGAGTGCATGCAGTAAAACATACTTGATAAAAAGAATTGATCGAACAAAACTGCAATTTAGCCCATGGCACTTAAACCTTTATAAACGCTTTACACATACTAATTAAATTTATATGATTGTGCTATTCTTTCAAATCAATTTTATTTTTCAAAGAAAATAAGAAAACATATGAAAAAAAAAGAGAAGAGAGTAGAAGTAAATTAATAGAAGTTTTTTTAATTAGATGAAACATTCCTATTAGCCATATTGTTTAATAGAAAATATATTCACTTAATATATCCTAACATTCATAAATATATATGGTATAAAAGCAATTTTGTTACTTAAAGCATAGAAACATAAAAAAAACTCTAAAAAAAGATAAGATATGCTAAATATTAAAAAGTAAATACACATAGTACAAACGATAGTTTTATAAGAACAAACTCCATTATTATGACAACATATTTTCTCATAGTTTCAAAACAGCGTAGTTCCAATTAATTTTAATTTAGAATTTAAACTTCCAAGGGTAAATATAAGAAAATCATAACCAAAATTCAAAGCAATCCAAAACAAATTAGTGAAAAAACACGTTTACAATAGTGTCAAAGAATAATTTTAAGAAAAGTCACCCACATAAAACATTCTTAACACAATTTAAAACAACATCAGATAAGATGCCCGCGCATGTGCGCGGGCTATCTTCCTAGTTACATCAAAAGTGCTCTATACTTGGGGCATAAAGCCAGTACTCCACTGCAATTCTGACTACGTAGAACGTTGCATGTTACAACTGAAGATCGTATAAACATGATTTAATTATCTCAATCTCATCTCATGAAGAAGCCACAGCTAAAGTTCCAACCTTACAGTCTAGATTCATAGCTCTCCACAAAAGAACGACTAACCTATAGCACATATGGCAAAAAATGGAGGTACACACAATACATTTAATGCGACAAAAGTTGCGCTATACTCGTATGAATGACAAAATACTGACAACGGATGCAGGGTAAGGCGGCACCATAGAAATCACAGTACCTATCTGACTTTCTTCAAGAGCTCTACCTTCTCAAACTCTGGGGCCGCATAACTCTTCTCTACTTCCCACGCATGATGAGACATCATGTTGAATGATGATTTCACTCCCTTCTCATCAGAGACCTCTCTCGTGAAAGGGATCCGGGCAGCAAAGGTACTTTCCCCGGAATGAACATGCAAGTCAAAACCCAACCTGTCTACCCAAATCATCTTCACCTCTGTCGCCTGTCACCATAAAAGAACACTGTTAGCACATTCAGTAAACATAACGGAACTCAACACTTGGTGCGGTATATAATATCTCACTATCTATGAATTATCACATAGCACATAAAATATTAATCAGCTGGAGTATCTTTTAGAAAAGATAAGATCAACAATTTTTTAATTACTTTTCTTCAAATAAAGAATAAAAAGATGCATAGTTTGATATGCCCCTAACTCATATATATAACACATAATCACTATACCACTATCAGACTATCAGTAAATTACATCTTTCTGTTTTGGTAATTCTCTATAGCTATGTTCCCATCAAAAAAAAAAAATCTCTACAGCTGTGTGATTATAAAGAAACTATGAAAAGACAAACATGTGCTTTATCTTAACATTAGCTATTTTTCCTTTCAAGAAGTAAGAAGCAAAGTTGTAGGAATGACAGGAATAACTTCAGTACCTGGAAATCTGATTCAACATAAATACTGTATATCCTATGTACATCTTCAGCATGTTTGCTGTTCATTTCCTCAACAATGCTTTCCGCAAAATTTCGAAGAGGGTCAGGTTCTGCATCACTGTATTCTGATGGAATTACCCACATGCCATCCTGAACAGAAAAAGTATCCCATGAATATCAGTCTCATTTGAACTACAAAGTTCTAAGGTGTAATTGGCTCACCAGCACACATCCATCAGAAAATAAAAACTGCACAACTCACATAGAACTAAGTACATCAAATGCAACAGATGAAACTTGACAACATTTAAAGCACCTAATATGTTGGTTGAACAAATTTCAGCAGCTGCTCAAGGTTCAATTAGCAACCTATATCAATTCATTTCCGTAGTAATTTGGTCGTGTGGAAGTGATTCAATGAGTGGGGAATAAACTAAATATAGGTGTGGGGGAAAATTGATAAATTGATGATTTTATTAAGTGCTAAAATATCTTGATGTTTTTTTTTCTAAAGTCAGGAAGCTATCCATGAAAGGAAATTGAGAAAGACATTCTACTAAAAGTGATCTCCATATATTTATCCTCGTAAAATACAGGTCAGCCAAACAAAATCTGAATAATGTAAACAATAAATAGGTCTTCTTCCGAATATGAAAGAAGGCAAAACCAGTTATAACAAAAAAAGAAGGCCAGACACTTTCAAGGGGTGCACTACACCTGAAACACAGAAATGATAACTAGACCAATACAGCCAAGGTAATGAAATGGATGTTCCAACTGAAAATATTCTTAGGATAGAATGTAAAAGTTATCTTGCTCCATGCTTTTAATGTACATTTTCACGTTAAGAGGCTATTTTCGTCAGCTAGTTTACTGATCACCATTCAGCGTCATGGATAACTATTTGATACCGTTCTGCACAGCAATCTTCAGCGAGTAAAAAGAAATTCAACCCACATCTCTTGTCTACATATCTTGTTACTGTCTCACACTATGCAAAAAATCATGCACAAATAACCCATACCTAACTATTATATCCTTATTATTAGCAAAACAGAATGAAGTGTGAAGAACACTAAAAGTTCCATCTCATTTTCTCATGAAAATGAGACACCTTCTACTTCCTCCGTCCCAAAATAAGTTCATTTTTCACCCAATACGGTAGATAAAGTAAGGAATGTTTGTATAGAAGTAGATAAAGTGAGGCAATCAATGCGGAACAAACACTGCAGTACTAGAATAAGAACTCCCAAAATGACAAACTGCAGAATATGAAGAAACCAAAAGTAACTAGAAGAAAATAATGTATTTTACCTCATTGAAATCTTCAATGTGCAAGATTCTGTCTACTGATATCAAATACAAAAGATCTTGATCTATCTCCTCGCCAAATTTCTTTTGCCACCTAGTAGAAAGCTTCTGCATAATTCAATTTAGCACATTACGAATCAGTAATCCGACTTAGTATATCATGCTATTCTTCTGCAGTACATAGTTTCCCATTGTAATCAACTTACAATTCACAAGTGTAATGCAAATATGCCTTGAACAAAATGAAAAACCATAAAAAAAAGTTTACCTTTAATTCATATTCATCGTTAGGTTTAGTCAAAGCACCAAGCAAAGTACATTGAGGTGTCCTGGCCCCACTCTGACGAAACTACACCACAAAAGGTAGCGAGAATGGTGAGTACAAGATACAAAACAGTTGTGCTAGTGCTCACATTGTCAGCATTAGAATTTAGTCATCAATGATTCTACACAGAGTTCACAGTGTCGGCGCATCAACTAGGTAATTAAAGTGTTCACCTTTGTTACAAGCACCTGTCTTCCACAAAACCAAAATGCATTTAACATAGTGGAGAGATCTGACATCTTAAGATGTCTAGACTCTAGAACTTTCCAATTTCCAAACAACACAAGTACACAAGAATGCAAACCACAAACTAAACAACTGCAAAGGCAACGCACAATGCAAAGCTTCAGCAATGAAATTCTCCTGCGTGATGTAAGAGTCCAGCGGCCTTCTAACTCAAATTCTACACGAACAGTGCACAAAATCATTACAGCGCCTCGAATTTCCGTCTTAATCTCACGCAAAACAAAACAGTGAAGTCAAAACGCGAGCAATCCGTAAAATTCTATCCCCCACGCAACAGTAAACAGCCTAAGAAATCAATCAATCAATCCATGAGCACGGCTGCATCCCCCTCACCTCGACGTGGAAGCTGGACGGCGCATCGGGCGCGGCGGCGGCGGGCCCGGAGGCGGCGAGGCACAGAGCGGGCGCGCCGGAGCCGTCGGCGACGAAGCGGGCGCCGACGCCGAGCGGCCAGCCGTCGGGGCCGACCACGGAGAGCGTCCCCGACGGCGCAAGCTCCACCACCGTCCGCGCCACCTCGGCCGCCGACGGCCGGGACGCCCGCTGCTGCGCCTGCACGGGCGTCGCGGGCGCGGGCGCGGACGCCGCCGCCGCAGCCACGGCCCGCTCGGCCCCGCGCCTCCCGGCGGCGAGCGGCGGGAGGCGCAGGGAGGAGGGGTTGGTGGAGAGGAGGATGGGCGGAGATGGGAGCGGGGAGGGGAGGAGGGAGGAGGGAGGCGGCGACATGGTGGTGATGGAAATGGAGGTGGAGGTTGTGATTCGTTTGGAGATTTGGGAGGCGGGTGAGATTAGAGGAGATAGGCAGGGATGAAAGCGGATCGGATACGGATCGGAAACTAGCTTTATCATATTCGTTTTCATATTTTTTTTAAGAATCAGAATCGAAATCGAAAACTCGGATACGGAAATGAAATCGAATATTATCGAATACAGATACGGAGCGAATACGAGACGGAACGAATACGGTAGCGGATATTTACCGGTATATAAAAAACCCCTCAAATTGAGTTTCTTGATCAAGAAAAAGATATCGCTTATTATTTTAGTTCAACATCTCCAACATTTATATCGTCAATTTTATAGACGGTCCCACAACCCTATGTGAAAATCAATTTTTATGGCTATTCCTCTTAGAGATCCATATGCAAATATGATTACCATTTTCTATTCTCACGACCTTTTTACTAGATGTATAACTTACTTACTATTGTATAAATTAGAGATGTTATTTATTTTACTTCACATCTTCGAAACTTGTAATGTTTGTTTTATACTTTAAATGCTTTCAAATACAAATGTTATAAACTACAAAGTGTTAGATCTCGTTGAGCTCTACAACTTTGATTCTCCATCAGATGTCGTTTGAATTGTAGATCTAAGATTTTGTAAAAATTAATATGGTATATTATAATGAATATTTAGACTCCTTAAATGACCTCAAATAATAAAATAGTCAATAAGAAAGTTGTAGATCTCATCGAGCTCTACAATGTTGATATAAAGTTTGTCGCCATCTGATTCCGTATGAAAAAGTTACGTATATATACATATTTTTTCTAAACTTTGCTCAATGTTTGCGGATATCCGAAAAAAAATCCGGATAGTTTCCGACCGTTTTCCGATTCCGACGGATAGTACCCTTACTGTATTCGTTTTCGTTTCCGAGAAAAAAAATCCGAATTCGTTTCCGAATCCGAGAATTTCTGGATAGTTCCGACCGAAACTATCCGAATCCGAAAAATGGTCCGGACGGACGGAAATTATCCGAACCACTTTCACCCCTAGAGATAGGTGTGGCATTCGTAGTCAAAATGTGTTCTTGATGATTCGGATTTATGGTTAAGTGGTTCATGCTATTAAAAAATCTATAACCTACGTCTAGAAAAATAATAACTTGAATCTAGATAAATGCTTGGCCAGATTCATCCTAAGAAGTTATTTTTTTATAGGACGGAGAGAGTAGATAAGTACTCATGTATTAGCTGCGAGATAATTGTACGATAGAATAATATTTTCTCTAGGTGCGTTCACATGGGCATAGTCTTTTAAAACTAATTCTTAACTTTAAATTTCTTATATAATCTCTTTTCTACTATTATAAAAATTGAGGATGTTTCCGTTGATATTTTGGTATGTCGTCCGTATTTGAGTCGGATTCTAAATTCGTTCGCTTTTGAAAATACATAAGAAGTTATATAAAAAAATATTTTAAAAAAAACTCACATACTCACCTAGGATGAGAGTCAGACTCCTAATTGCTTTAAAATTTCTACCAAGCTATAAGAAAACAATATATAGGTTATGGCCATCATCCCAACTAGGGATCCGAATTGGATATAAATAATATCTCAAAATAAAATTCATATATATTTTTTAGAAAAAAATCTAACAATAACACAACTAAAATAGCCTTCACCCTTTATAATGCACGGGCATGTTTTCTAGTATACTACATTATGTAGCAATAGAATTACAATAATATAAAAATAAATTTAAATGATAATCCAATAATATTATTTTACATGAAATAAAATTTAATTTATAATAAAATATTTATTGGTCAGTTGAATTTTAAAATACGTGTGGTCATAGTGAGTGAACAGAGGAAATAAATTTTTCTTGCTTAATGTACGATTTTTTTTCACGTGCTTTTCTGTATCTTGTAATATGGGTTGATTTTGTTTTATGGGCTTTCTATATATTATACATTGATCAATTATGTAAATGGTATAAATGATTGGAGTGCATGGTGTGGTTTTATGGAGAAAGATATAATCCATACCATTGATGAATTATTCAAATGCAAAAAATAATTGAGATGATGACGACATCCTTCATCGAATCCGCATGTAACTTCACAAGTTCCAATGACTAAGTTCAAGTCAGTAGCATTGATTTCAAATGGATCTAGCGTCTTCATGCCAACTCTAATTTGGATGATGTTGGATTTGTTGGAGATCTTATCTCATCACCTTTCAAACGTATCCAGTCTAATATCAAAATTCATCTCGAGTCAATAGGAAATTGGGAATCGTCAAAACACAACAATGTTGTTGCTGAAACCGAACTTAGCCCTTGTGCTTTGTAATAGACTAGGGCCATCTCGGAAGTGCCTCTCTCCACCTCTACGAACCAACACCTATCTCTAGCTTTATTTTCCTCTATAAATAGCTTCGTACACCCTAAAAAACAATTGGGTTTTGTTTTGTTGAATTTTACCAAGTGCCATTCACCTAATATTTAATCCTTGCTCGATTAGTCGGCATCTAGAGATAGAGATTCAGAGTCACCCAATAGTTTATGCATTGATTTGCTAGGTCGATTAGATCTACCATTTCAATCACAACTATTCTTTTATACTTAATTACCTATTCGAAATATTTGGATTGCATCTTATCTTGTTCTTGAAGTGTTCTCTCGTTTACATTGCAGGGAACATCAACCGCACATCACGGTTGGTACAATATCGTTTGTGGTGTTGCGATTGCACAGCGTTCTGAACTTGTTCTAGTTGGTAGCCACGTCGCAAACATCACAGCCAATCAAAATGAGAGTTATCCCCTCACCAGAAGATCAGGCCACAAGAGAGACCACAATCACCTCTCCTAACCCTAGTGACTATAATAAAAAAGATACCGGAAACGGTTAGGAAGCTCCCTCACCATTTTCACCCCAGTCCCCCTCTTCCTCTCCAATTGCAGGCCTAAAAAGCAAGAGAAAATTCGATCCATAGCACATGAAAAAACTGGTACCAAAAAATAGCAAAAAAAATTCCTCTTTCAACCATAAGCACACGCCACTATTTTTTCTTCGATTTATAGCACTTCTGTCACATTTATCGTCCAAGTCCATTGGTTAGCGATGATTAGGAGCGTGAAAAGACGAATTTACCCTTTTTTCTAACCAAAGTATGGGTGGATGAGGTGGCCGGAGGAGGCGCAGGCCTTGGTGGCGGCGGTGGGGTGGTTGATAGCGATGGCCCTCGCATCCCGCCACCACAGTCCCAATCCCTAAGCTTGTCCGGCGCCGTCGTCACTACCATCCCCAAGCTCTGCCGTTGCCATCCCCACCCCGAGCTCGTTCGGCGCCGTCTCCATGCTCGCGTCCTATTGCCGCCGCCATCGCATTCCACCACTAAACAGCCATGCCCAAGCTCGTGTCCTATTGTTGCCGCAGTCGTCTTCAAGCTCGTGTTCCTCTGCCGCCATCGTCGCCCCTGGGTTCGTGTCCAGGCGCCACCATGGTCACCCCCGATCTCGCGTTTCGTTGCCACCACCGTCGCCCCTGGGTTCACGTTCCACCACCGAACCGCCATCCCCACGAACTCGCCACGCGCAGCCGCCATCCCCGTCAGAGGCGCTCAGCCGTGCCACACCATGGCTGGCCACCGACGTGGTGGCGAGATCGACGGGACAAAGAGAAGGGGAAAGATGGAATAGAAGAAGGTGACGGGAGTGCTACAAATCGAAGGAAAATCAGAGGCATGTGCTTTGAGCTAAAAGGGGAAAATTTTTGTGCTATTATTTTGTTCCGGTTTTTCTTTTTGTGTGCCATGAATCGAATTTTCTCTAAAAGCAATGGAACTGAGCCTACCAAAGGCCCAGAATGTAGTAAATATGGCCTACAGTTGCGTGGGATTCCGGCCCGTTGATCTGCGTAGTTGTAGGGAATTTCAGCCCATTTGTCTCATCAAATTCAGTCCATAAGCGCGCGTGATTCTAGCCCGTCAATCTGCCAAATTTCAGCCCATCTAAAAGTCAGCAGAGAAGTCCAATTTTGAGGAATATCAATCAAATTTGAAAATATTTCAAAGAGAACTAAATTACAATATGACATTATGACCACACGCTGAGCACCTAAATTCTATTTGCTCTAATAGGACATACTTGATATGGAGTATGATTTTCCCTACTGAATATTTTTTCTTATTTAACTCTAATTTTCCATGCTATTTTTTAAAAACTTGCTGGTGAAGCTGGTAGCCTGATGGACCGCTTTCGGTCGAAAAGAAATAGTAATAAGTTAAAAAAATCAAATTACCCTGAACTACTCCAATAAGGAGCCTCCTGTCTACAGCACCATATATATACCTCATGTATGTTTTTTTTAGATAATGGAATAAACATCCCGACCTTTACTCAAGAGAGCTACAACCCATTATTATAATCTAGCACTCCACATCGAGTGTAGTCCAACTAAGACAGCAAACATCACGGAAAGATAAAAACGAACCAATAAAAGATAAAGAGAATACATTATTGAAGTCTATTTATGAATCTTCACCCATAATTGGCAAAAAGCTGCATAAGCCGTCGACTCAAACTTGTGGCATGCAACTTTTAGGACCTCTTCATCTTCGTCACATCTTTGCAATGTGCCCAACACCGGAGCCAACATGTTGCACCTCATATATGTAAATAGAAGTACTATAAAAAAGACACGGATGAAAATTGTGGCATAGCTATCCAACATATAACAGCACCCACTACCTTCACGCCCTTTGAACATTTTTTTTACTTAGGTTTTTTTTCTGGTTTTTCGAGGATATCTCGGTGTGTATATGATGCAGTATCGGACGGACAACTCCCTCTCGGTGTAGTATAAGATAAACTCACTTTCAAGACTTATCTCACCAAAGTCATTTGGTTTAGAAGACCCACCCCCAAAACAAGTAAATATGAGATGCAATGCAGTATATATTCACACAATAAATTGTCCAGGCTGGAAAGCATCAGTTTAATTTATTTTTAGATAATGGAATATAATATCCCGGCCTTTACTCAAAAAAGCTACAGCCAATTATTACATAGTAGTTTTCATGAACATAGTGTAAATCTAAATGAATAGAACACACCGAAGAGAAAAACAAAGAAACCAGCCTAACGTAAGGAGATCACAATTATTGAAGTCTATTTGTAAATCTCCAACCATAATTGGTAAAAAGTTGTATAACCGTGGTCTCCAACTTTCGGCATGCAACTTTCAGAAACTCTTCATATTCATCACACCTTTGTAGTTGTGCCCAAAACCGGAGCCAATGAGTTGCCCTGAAAATGACCTGCATATAGAAAAATGATGGTGATTTGTCAAAAACCATATCGTTCCTACTCAGCCATATTGCCCAACAAATGGCAGAAGCTCCAATAAGTATCAGTTTACTCATTTTCTTATCAACTCCCAAAAGCCACCTATTAAAAATATGAGATATGCTAACTGGAAGATTAAAACCAAAAGAGAACTGAACAGCTCTCCATAGAAACTTCGCAAAATGACAATCCATTAAAGAGATGTTGAATAGACTCATTCTTCAAACAAAAAGAACAACTCAAGCTGCCATTCCAGTTACGCCTTGCCAAATTATCCTTAGTTAACACAACCCCTTTAAGCAGGTACCACATAAAAATTTTAATCTTAAGTGGCAACTTAAGCTTCCAAATACACTTGTTTCTCTCGATATAGCCATTATTAATTAAAGCTAGGTACATAGACCTCACCGAGAACAAGCCATTCTGATGAAAATTCCATCTAAAACTATCAGACGAATCATTCAACTGAATATGTACTATAGAGGCACAAAACTCATGCCAACAAACAAGATTCTGACCAACTAAAGCTCTCCTAAAAGAAACATTAAGCGGAACAGATCCCATAACAGTGGCAATAGAAGATGTCTTCCTCCGAACAATTGCGTACAAAGATGGATATTTATCCTTAAAAGCCAAGTTACCAATCCATCTATCTTTCCAAAATCTAATTTGTTCCCCATTGTTGACAATCCAAGAACCCATATTTAAGAAAGTACTTTTGACATTCATAACACTAGACCAAAAATGGGAATCATCTTGTTTCTTGTCAACTTGGGTTATAGATTTATTATAAAGATATTTTCTCTTCAATAAATCATGCCAAACCCCTTCCTCATTAATTAACTTAAACAATCATTTACTTAAAAGACATTTATTTTGTATCTCCAAATTATGAATCCCAAGACCCCCTTGGTCCTTAGGTTGACAAACAACATTCCACCTAGTGAGCCTGTATTTTTTCTTATGGTCATCCCCTTGCCAAAAAAAACCGCGATCTATAATAATCAATTTTACGAAGAACCCCTTTCGGCACCTAAAAAAAGATATCATAAACATGGCTAAACTTGAAAGAACAGAATTAATCAACACCAGCCTACCACCAACAGATAAATGCTTGGCTTTCCAACTACTAAGCTTTTTCTTAATTCTCTCTTCTATAAGTTTCCAATATTTATTAGAAAGCTTCCTAAAATGCATCGGAATTCCAAGGTATTTAAAAGGAAAGGTACCTAACTTACAACAAAAATATCAGAATATTGTTCATAACATTCCTTTGCCTGACTAAAGCAAAATAATTCACTCTTGTGAAAATTTATTTTTAGGCCAGATAACTTTTCAAATACCGATAAAATCAGTTTCAAATTCTTTGCTTGTTGCAAGTCATGCTCCAAAAAGATGATAGTATCATCTGCGTATTGCAAGATAGACAAACTATCATCAACAAGATGATGAATAACCCCACTCAAGAGTCCCGCCTCTTTAGCCCTCTTAATCAATAGAGTAAGCATGTCAGCTACTATATTAAAAAGAATAGGAGATAAAGGATCCCCTTGCCTAAGACCTTTGTAAGTTTGAAAACCATTACCAATTTGATCGTTAACTTTTATACCAACATGACCACCTTGAACAAAAGAAGCTATCCACTCACACCATCTAGGAGAAAAGCCTTTCATTCTCAAAGTTTGTTGTACAAAAGGCCATTTAACTTTATCATAAGATTTCTCAAAATCAATCTTAAAAATTACACCACTTTTATCTTTGCGATGTAATTCATGTAAAATAACCACCCCTTCCCTAATATTTCTCCCAGGAATGAACGCTGTTTGAGTAGGACTAATTACCTTTTGAGCGTCATCCATTATTTTATTTGTAGCAACTTTGGTAAAAATCTTAAAGCTAACATTAAGTAGGCATATAGGTCTATGCCTACTTACTCATATATGTGCACGCATAGTAGTGATACGCGCGTGTGCATATATATACATGTGTTTCATGTAATTAAAAATGTTCAAGCTGTGTTATATATTAGCTCATGTTGGAGTAGTTTTGTAGTTCACCTTTTTATCTGTAACCAACTCTTATCTTTGCTCTTGGGAAAACAATTGTTACAATGCTGAGAAGCTTAGCTAGACAAACTGCTGAAGCGAGTGAGCTAAGCATGCCTAGTTATCTCTATAGGATAATTTAAGGTAGGGCAAGTTGCAATAGTGCATTGTGATGTGTTGTCGGGGGAAGGATTTTTTTTTATTCTGCTTTGTTAAAAGTATATATTACAAGTATATAATTATATGGAAGCAATTTTGTTGACAAATATACTGATTCCGTTCTAATTAGACAATCTCAAACACTTATGTGTATAGTAGTACGCTGAAATTTTAAAGGCGACTCTCTCTATCTATAATATAGCAATTTAGTACCGGATGAGATAAATTTTAGGACTATGAATCCAAATATAGTGCTAGAATACATCTCATCCGGTATTAGGTTAGTACGTATATTATAGGATAGAGGTAGTACGTCGCAAGTAGGACAAGTAAATTGTATGTCAGCCACACTTGCTTATGTGAGCTAAACATCTTGGTGGCTTTAACAATTAACATGAAGCTCAAGCTCTTCAAACAATACTAGAAAACTAGTCCAAAATGAGTCTTTGCTTCAATGCAAACGCCCTACCTTAGTCCCTCTTGAGATCTACCCTACAAAAATTTTACATTATATTATTCAAGAAAGAAAATCAGTAGGTGCCATCTTATCAAGACACTCTGACTCACCCACTTCCTAAGCTCTAAAAACAAAAAAACAAAAAATACTTGTATATGCTTACCTTCTTCCAAGTCTTTCTTCTATCAAGTCATCACTATCCCGTTCCTCTGATCTGATCTTAGATTAATAATACTAATATAAATTTTAGAAATATGGACTTCACATTTCTTTTATGCAATGGTGAATAGTGTGCACCTGTCCCATACTCCCAGAATATTTATAAGCAGTCACCTGAGGAAGTCCTAGCTCGCTCGCTCTCTCTCTCTCTCTCTCTCTCTCTCTCCAGTGTTCCTAGCTACAACGAGTGGTTTACTTTCTCATCCTAGGTAGCTTGTCTCCATTGTTTTCCCAAGAGGAGAGGTTCTAGAAGCTTCTAGATAATGGCAGTCGATCCCGTGTCTCTTTTGTGTTCGTGCTAGAGAGTGAGTGATGATGTGTGGGATTCTATGGTTATATATATTGAATTTTTCTTGAGTGTGTTCTCTAGGAAATTCGGTTTTATGTGCAAGATAAAAGGCAAAGAGACGAGATTGGTGGCTGTGGATGAGGAGGCTTAGCTCTTGAGAAAAGGATCGATTGACAAGAACATGAGGTGAGTTCAACATATTGTTTGATGATGTGTCAAATGATCTCGAGTTATTTCGCTGAAATTTGATGTAGTATTGAATCAGGAGTTTCATGAGACGTTTTGGGGGATAAATTCAGTTTGCTCTTGAGCTTGAATCTTTCAACAACAGAGTGCAATTTTTATTTCCAAAAGAATTCCTCAAGTACTAGTTTGTTTCATCTTCTCTTTTTTTTTTTGTCTTACTTGTATTTTACTTCCTCCATCCTAAAAAAACAACTTTTGGAATTTAAACCTAACCAGAGGTTGGTTTTCTATGGGATGGATGGTGTATGTTCTATATAAACCGAATAAGTTGAGCCTTGACGCAAATGAGTGTAAAGTTTTTGAAGTGTCAAATCATGCACCAGCTGCTCGCTTAGCGACTTATTTTCAAATTGATATTTTTGCTAGAATGAGAACTTGCTCGTTATTTACAAGCATTAATTAAGTTGTTATTTTCCTACCGATAATTCTGTTTTCTTCACCTTGAACATTAATTTTAATGAGGTTTTGTTGTCTTTTTAAATCATTAATTTTATCACTGTCTGATACTTCAGTTAGGTGTAAATAGGGATCTCATATATTTAACGCAGTTCACCTTCATTTGCTGCATCGTACTAGAGCTTAAAAAATGTTTGAGGTGGTACTACACTTCTTAGCGTTGGATAGGTATATTTTCTACACAGACTAACGTATTCAGCACCTCGTGGTGCTTCTAAGGAATATAGGAATCTCTGTGTTATTATCGAACAGATCATATACATACAAGGTCTCATGTATAATCATTTAAAGAATTTCCAAGAGCAAAGAGACTAGGATGAGCTTGTCATTTGTAAAAGTGTAAGATTAGGCAAAGTACTGTCAAGAGTTAAGAGGGGACTCAGTTGGATATAGCGTAAGAAAGAAGAGCCTAAAAGAGACAGATTGACCTATGAGGAATCGTTTTTGCATTGAATTATAGAGAAACAACATTGGGCTAGTACATTAGTACGGTATAATCACAGTTAAGGTTTCACAGCGGGGAAAATAAAACAGTAACCCCACAGACCGACAATATACTGATACAAGTTTGGAATGAATGCATTTCACGAGACCGTTTAATTATAAAAAAAAATGCATTAATCAGGGATTACTAGAAAATGTTGATACTCACCTTTTAGTACTGACAAGATTGATTATAAACAATTAGGTCATTACAAATGTAGCAACACATGAGTTACTCAATGACTATTATTAATTTACTGCCAATTGTCAAGTCACTGGCAACTACCTCCAGTCTTTAAGTACAATGATTGCAGAATCATATGTTGACCAACATTGCTGTAACTATAAACATCTCCAGGAAACAAAAAAGTAAAGTTCTTTGTACTTAGGTCGTATAATTTTTCATTGATTTTTTTTACTCTGCAGGCTTAATCTTATTGAGAACGAAGCAAGACACAGACAGAATAACTTGGCCACAGGTTCAGTTAAAACAATGAGCAGCAAGATAGTGCTCAAGTTAAAGGATTTTACCAGAATCTGGATAAGCCGCGAAGAGAGTATGCTAGACCCTGGAGGCAATGTTGTGCTGATGTGGAACCGTGTCTTCCTCGTCTCATGCGTTGCTTCTCACTTCATTGATCCTCTCTTCTTCTTCCTGCCAATTGTTGAGCGCAGAGACCGCCAGTTGTGTATGACAATGGACCATCATCTCGCCATTATACTCACTTGTCTACGGTCTTTTCTTGACATATTCTTCATAGCTCATATTGCTATAAGTTTCTCCACTGCACATGTTGATCCAAGCTCCAAAGTGCTTGGCAGGGGTGAGCTTGTCACAGATCCTAAAAAGATTGCAAATAGATACATCAGAACAAACTTCTTCATTGACCTAGTAGCTGCATTGCCAGTTCCACAAGTATGTCTCTTTCATTTGAAAGTTGGAAATAGTACAGCAGTAATCAGAAAAAGGTGTGATATTTTTTGTGCTGGTAAATTATTTCTTTCTATGTGCAGGTTCTTGTTTGGATAGCCATGCCATCTATCAGCTTCAAGCATATCAATGCCCCTTTCTTTCTTATAATATTGGTCCAATCTGCCATCAGATTATACATCGTAATTCTTCTCAGCCTTAGTATCATGGAGATGGTGGGTTTCATCGCAAAAAATGGGTGGGAAGGAGCTATCTACAGTCTAGTTCTTTATTTGGTGGCAAGTCACGTAAGTGTTAGTTATTTCGCCTGGATTACAAAAACAACTGTCATATAATGATTTTATAAGTACATAAATAACGTTGAGCATATTTGCAGCAGATATTGCTGCAAACAGATAAAATGACAATTTGGTTAGGATCATGGCCCATTTCAAAACATAAATTTTAGCCCCATACAACCTGGCTAGAATTAATGTCGTCAATATTTCACTAGGCATTTTTAAGTCAAGACACTTCATCAAATAAACGATTGGAAAATATGCCAAACATAAATCATCCTATAGAAAAAAAGTTGCAACTTATCTCATTAAACCATTACTTGTGCCATGTTTCCACCAGGTGGTTGGAGCAATATTCTATCTAACTGCAGTGGATCGACAAAAGACATGCTGGGAAACACAGTGCTCTATTGAGGACAGAATGGCACACAAAGGACTGTGTGATTTACACTTCCTTGACTGCAAATATGCCACATCAAGTAACAGTCAAAGTTGGGCAAATAGCACAAATGTGTTCACACATTGTAACGCCAACAGCAATAGTGTCAGTATCAACTATGGCATATTCATTCAAGCAATACAAAATGGAGTGACCACAGCTTCATTCTCTGAGAAATATTTCTACTCCCTGTGGTGGGGACTTCAACAGTTGACGTTCGTATTTCGATACTTACTGAATGCATTTTCAATTTTTCAAGCTCCAAAAAGGCATTACACCCAGAAAGCAATTATTATCTAGCATCAACCTCATAATGACCTGTTCTTACAAATTCTTTCATGCTGCTTGCAATATTTGTAGCAGACTTATCATGGTTTGAGATTACTGAAATGTTATTTTGTATATATTTTTGGTGACAGCACGTATGGCAATCCTTTGGTGACTAGTTCCTTCATTGGTGAAAACCTATTTGCAATAGGGTTAACCCTTCTCAGCATTGGTTTGTTTGCACAACTAATAGGCAACATGCAGGTAATTTATCTTGTAAAACACTTTCAGTAACACTTTATATACTTATGTAGTACACAAAATAAGAAAAAGAAATGCTTCACAGATACACATGAGATCTCTTTCTAAAAATACTGAAGATTGGAGAATGTGGCAAACAGAAATGGAAGATTGGATGATAGATCATCAAATACCTGATGAGCTGCGATACCGCATCAGTCAATTCTTCAAATACAAGTGGTTTGCTACGCAGGGAGTTGAAGAGGATTCAATCTTGAGACAACTACCAGCAGATCTTCATCGAGATATAAAACGGTACCTGTGCCTTGATCTTGTCGAACGTGTACGTGAGTCCTGTTCCTGCAAATATCTTCTGCAATCACAAGCATCACCTTTACTCATCCTTACTCTTCATGTTTAAGGACAAAAATGAACAAAAACTAATGATAGACAGTAAACATATATCCTAAAATAATGATCAGCTAAAGTATGCTCCCTTCAATTTTAATTTCAGGTGCCATTTTTTTCTGCAATGGACCATCAACTACTCGATGCCATCTGTGAACGCATGACCTACTTCCTTCGCACTGAAGGCACCTACATAACCCGTGAGGGAGACCCTGTCAAGGTGATGCTCTTCATTATTCGTGGCAAGCTAGAGAGCTCCACAACAGATGGTGGCAGAACTGGCTTCTTCAACTCCATCATCCTAAAACCAGGTGATTTTTGTGGTGAGGAGTTGCTTACATGGGCATTGCTTCCCAGCTCTAGAGACAGCTATCCATCATCAACAAGAACTGTTAAAACAATTGCCGAATTGGAAGCATTCTCCCTCCAAGCCGATGACATTAAGTGCGTAGCCAGCACATTCAGGATGATGCATTCCAAGCACCTGCAGCACACATTCAGGTTACACTCATACCAGTGGAGAACATGGGCCGCTCGCTTTATCCAATCAGCATGGCGAAGGCGCCAGAATCGACAAAAAATGGCAGAAGTAGGTCTAAGCAACAGGTGGAAGTCATTCTTCTCATTGGTCAATGACTTCAATGACACGAGATGTGAGGACATTAATGGTTCTTCTAGCACTGTATCACACAGAGAAACAGTTACTGTCTCAAAAATAGCATCAATATTCAAAAAAGCACAGAAGGAGCGACCTGAAGAACCTGATTTCTCTGAAGATCATCATCCAGAGTAACACAAACTGCATTCAATATAATCAAATGATGCAAATAGTAACGTACTAATTATACAAGTGGTGATCGTTTCTGTATGATAATTATAGTTCCTGGATGTTTACTCTCATTCGCCAATAACTGTTCACTTAGTTATCTTAGTGCTCACTTAAATTATTAAATACTGTATCGCAGAAAAGGCTACCAAATGTGGGGAGGGTCACGTCCACAAGTAAGCATATGCCAGCTATATTAGAGTTTGCAATAGCCTCATATGTAAAACAAAAATAACTGCTTCTCATCGTCTCAACATGTATTAAGTACTCAGCCAATTCTACTATAGCTGATGAGGTCTGAGCAATATGGTAGAAAGTTCATATTCTGAGGTAAATAATTCTAATATATTTATGTACATAAGGATGTATGGTTTCTGCTCCTCAAGTAAACATACAAGTGATATGCACGATAGAAGGAAAACGGGCATAAAATTGAACAGTCTTAAATGCTACCACATGACCCAATTATAATACAACAGAACATTTGGTACAAGTTGAAAAGAATGATCAGTGTCATTAATCATTGGTCAAAACGGTTGACATCATAGAACTCAATGTTCTTATATTTCTGTGAAATTATTTCTGCCTGAACTTTCCGAGCTGTGTCTGTTGCACATCCAACAAGGATAAGCACTGATGTACCAGCAAATCCCCGAAATGCCGTTAAGTGAGTGATTTGTTCAACCACAGATGGTCCAGCAGCTAAAACAGCAAGGAAGGCAGATCCTAGGACAGATATATTACTAAGAACCTGCAATGAGATAATTTAATTTCAGTGCACAATATAGAAGCTAATGGTTTGCAGTACTTGATATACTTTAGTTGTGATTGGATTTCTTATTGAATTTGAGATTTTTATGTTCAATTTCTCCAAAATGATACGCAGCAAGAAAGTAAAAGGTGCCCCTCACATGCATAACATATCAAATGTAACTGTATGTCCCACTGTCTTGCGCAGCAATCAGTTCTGGCAAAAAAGTTACTGACTGTGATCTTCAAAAAGATAGAAGTAGTAAGGATGCCCGCTAACAGAGGGAAATGTTGTCCAGTCCAAGGGATGGCATATTTACATCATACAGTTTATGAATCACATAACCAACATAGGAATATCTATGATTTATATAAATCCAGAAGGATGAAAGTCTTGACTATAAATTGCATCCTAAATTCTCTTGTATGTGGTTCTGAACCAACTGAATGTAGCAAATGACCTTACCACCACCAAAGACTAGCATTTGGCCATACCACAAGATACTTATAAATAGGATCTAGGATATTTTCTGATGATATGAGCCATGAATGAGTTTAACCAGTCTGGTTGGCATAAGTTGTGCAATTACTACAACTCCAAATTTCCTATGATAAAGAAAACAGAATATCTTCATGAACAGGTGTGCCTCACATGAATCTAACACTGCAGAGGAGACAACAGACTGTTTAGTGGTTACTGACTTCTTTAGAGGATTGCAACCTGAGTTTTGGAGTTCTTTAATACATCATGTCACTACGAAAACAGTTTCCATTGATAACTACACAAAGATAAGGACCATTGCCAATTTCTGTAACAGACAACCATTGCACCGAATTAACCAAGCAGATGGACAAGAATGAGCTGATGAGCAGGAACATATACATTATGCACATAAACTAAAAATTCGGATGCGGTGAAAGAACAATATTTATTCTAATGGAAGAACAATAACTCACTGTTTTTATGAAGGCAGCTGTACTTTTCCCTGGCCGTACAAGCGGTATTGAAGCACCTTGCCGCTTCAATTGCTCACTAAGATCATCAGGATCCAATTGAAGGAAGGTGTAATAGTAATTGAAAAAGGCTATAAGCAGTACATTAGTTGGAATATACAAAGCACCTGCAGCATGAAGTTAACAGAAAGTGATTTACATGCAAACAAAATGTCTATTGCATTGCCATCTCCCATATAAAGACAACAAATTTCAAAAGAATTATAGAAACTCCTTGTTTACCTCCTGGATTTAGGGATATGGCAGCCTTTTTAAGAAACTCTAAGCCAGTAAATCGTGCCAAAGTACCAGGCAAAGCCAAAGAAGATGTAGAAAATATTATAGGCATGACACCAGAACTATTGACCTGCTCATAATGGTAGCATAGTAAGTCATAAGCAATATTTCCTTTGGTAATTTGTAAGGTAGGACATAAAAAATCAAATAAAATGGAAATTAGAACAATTATGACTCCCAATGATGGAGAGAGGTTAAGAAAAAAAATATTAGAAGCTTGATCTTATTTCATTTGCTAAAAAATAACAGAATAATTGTGTGCTTGGTCCTACAGGCTCCAACTCTTGTTAGATCAAAGTTATTTAGATTGTTAAGTCAGAACATATGGGTGATATCCTCTGGCTTTAATTCGTCCATACACCCTCTACAAAGTTATTTAGGGCCTGTTTGGAGAGCTTAAAATTCTGAGAAGCAACTGGCTGGTAGGCAGCTTCTGAGAATCTGGAAAAGCTGAGTTTCCCAGCTTCTAGCTTCTAGTTCATTTTCTAGATTCTACAACTACAGCTTCTCAGAATCTAGACCAAAAGCTGGACTGTTTGGGGGAGCGTCTGATTCTAGGAGAAGCTGCAACAGCTAGAAGCTCCCCCAAACATGCCCTTAGATTGTTAAGTCAGACACCCAAAAGTGCCAATGGAACGGTTTAAAGTAATAAACAAAGAAAAATAGAAAGTGAACCAAAAAGGTGAATTGAGTGTCATTCAAATGAACGGTTAGAAGAGTACAGACAACATATAATCAAGAATAACAACTAGGAGTCTGCATACCAACTTTCAGAATTATCCCTTATTTTGCACGAAACCACAACTATCAAATGAAGATAGGTCATTCTTCCAACATGTGGTAAGTCACAATGCAAATGTAATACTATCAATAAATTTGGAGAAAGTTCTGAATTGTAAGTATTCAAATGAGAAGCATCCAGAGTATCAACTAAAAGCTGAAGCTCAAACTCAACCCTTGCACAAAATATATGGAAATATAGACATTAAATAGAATTAAATGGAAGCACAGCAAACCTTAAATGGTAGATATGCAGATCGTTGGAGCCCTCCACTCCGACTACTGTATCGAGAAGCATAATTTAGCGGAATTTTCCTCTCGGCTTCCTGAAACCACCCAAGTGATCTCAAATAAGCAATGAGCAATTTGAGAGGAATTCCATATGTATCTTGACAAATTAAAACCTGCTTACTTGGACATAAACAATCCCAAGAACTAAGAAAAGGAACGATAATATGATTGTCAGAAGCCCAACATAATTCCCATCTTGAAATGCCTGTGCAACTGTCCTTCCAAACGATGCAGGTAAATACGATATTATACTTGTAAATATAAGAAGAGATGTTCCATTTCCGAGTTTTAAATCAGATATTCTTTCGCCAATGAAAGTTGTAAACACCGATCCAAGCGTCAGTAGTGTCACAGATGTGAGGACCCATTCTGTGCTGAAGTCATTAACATAAGGACGAAGAAAAAGAACTTGCCCAATAGCCTAGCAAGAAGTAAACAAATTAAAGAAACCAGCCAGGAAGGTACTAGAACATTCCGAATTTTCAATCAAATTAAGGAATATTTTGTAACTAATAACCACAAAATACTATGAAGTACTAGGAGTATAGTACAACCAGGCAAAGCAGAACAGAGTTTTTCCATAGTTAACTTAACAGCACAAACTTAATTGGGTAAAACAAAAGGTTGATTTTTATTTTATGTGCTTCAACAGCATATTTACTTTGCCAATTAGCATGTGGAAATAAGTTCCAGAGTATTTGTGATATGTTAAGCATTTGTCCTCTACGCCAGAGCTAGGTCATTGCTGTATAAAAAATATAGTTTCTCAAAAAACTTTAACTTCTCAAAGCACCCAGCATTCCTAAAATCTGGAAGATTCACAGTCATATTTTGTGACATGTTCAATACAAGTCAAAAAGGTTAAAGGTATATTATCAAGTAAAGGTCAGTTGGTATATAATGTAACGACTAGCGACATAATATTCTAGAGCTTCATATAGATATGTTTGCTCAAGTACTCCGAAATCTAGACGAGACTAACTGTACCCCCTTGGCACCCTGGAAACCGACATCCCACGTCTTCCAATTTTCAATCAATCATGTTGACAAATAAATATGATAAGTGCTCCAAGAATCTAACCTGGACAATTGCAAAACCAACAGATGCGTATCTTGTATACTGAAGAACCTTCTTTCTTCCTGCCTCTCCTTCTTTTTTCTGAAGATCTTGCAATTTGGGATAAAGTTGTGCAAGAAGCTGAAACACAATCTGTGCATTGATAAATGGAACAATGCCAAGGGAGCATATTCCAAGTCGGCCAATACCTCCACCAGAAAAAGAATCCAAAGTGCCTAGTAGACTGTTCTGGTCAAGATTACCAGCGAAAGCATCCCGGTTCACTCCACCCAGAGGTATATAAATACCAAGTCGAGACAAGGCCAAATAACCAAGGAGCTTCAAGAACTTCCCAGGTAGAGGACCCTTGAAGAAGTCACCAATGTCAATGGAACTATCTTCAATTGCAGCTGCTCAAAAGGGAACTACTTGGGTTAAGACACATTTTAAATAGGAATTCTAGTTGGTTAAACTTATTAGGCTGCGTTCAGGAGTGAGGGTTGGGAACCTCACTCCCACGCACGGAAAACGGAGCAGCGATTAACGGATGATTAATTAAGTATTTGCTAAAAAAATTTTCAAAAATGGATTAATATAATTTTTTTAAGCAACTTTTGTATAGAATTTTTTTGCAAAAAACACACCGTTTAATAGTTTGAAAAGCGTGCGCGCGGAAAACGAGGAAGGGAGGTTGGGAAAGGGAGGGAACGAACTGAGCCTTAAAGTGGATTCAAGCTGCAGATACATGAACAACATAGGTCAATGCTCGTAAGTAATTGAACAGTAACAGCCTATGAGGCATGCATGGGTAAAATAAGTTTTTGCACTGATAGAAAAATATGAACATAACTTGAGTTAATTTTACAAACAACATGAAAAGTTAGAGTAGTAGTTCCACATATTTATAACAAGCAAGATCCTGCTGATAACATTATGTCAAAACCATGTGTAATCAAGAGGTTTCCTTTCACGCATACTGAAGTCTCTAGGATTTACCATTACCAGATTACATCTGTGTTAAAAAAAATCTAAGTACTACGTAAATTACATGGTAGCTCTCTCAGAACTTCATCATATTACTTAGATGGAAAATTTTCAATAATTTCTTCACTAACAATTTACTAACATAACATCGTCTTCAGCTCAAACTACGCATTTATCCTAATAAGTAATAACACGCTCCTACAATGATGTAGAATGGTACTGCATAGGTAAATTAGTACAGATATTCCAAAAGCATTTAACAACAAATTCTCAAAGTTACACGCACAAAAAATAGGAAGGGGTTAACTTGGCAACCTGCTGCTCCTCGTCCATAGGACTTCTCCTTCCTGCCGCCGCTCGAGCTCCCGAACACCGGCGACAGTACTCCGAAGAAGTTCGACAGCGGGGACTGCGTGTCATTCCTCGAAGGCCCATCGTTGTACAGCCCTAGGGGATCAAAGCCAGGGCCAGCCGTCTCCAACGCGCACCTGCGAAGCGGATAAGCAAAAAAAAGATCGAAATGAAGCGGAGCTCCTCCGCCAATGCGGGATGAAGCGCGTACGGCGCAATTTTACTCTCGAGAAGTGATGCTGGTATGCTACCTGGGGGAGCAGGGCAGGGAGGCTCCCCTCCTCCTCCTCGCCGCCGACGCCGACGCCGACGCGGCGCGGCGCCCACGGAAGCGGAGGGAGGCGGGAGCTCCGGAGACGGGGGACGCGGAGGAGGGTGCGCGTGGAGGAGGAGGAGGGGGAGCGCGCGCGCGGGTGGGGAGCCAGCATTGCTGCGGGGTGGCCATGGCCGCCATGGGTGGAGGGAGACGGACGAGTGGATTTGGGAGGCGATAAGCGAGGTGAAATGAGGAGGTGGCAGCGGCGCAGAGGATGGGCCCTGGGCTCTGGGCCCTGGGCCTCAGCCGGGCTCGTGGTCGTGGGCCGTAATTAGCTTAGGCTTAGCCGCTAAAGCACATCTCTGTTAGGAAAAAGTACATCGAAGGTCCCTCAACTTGTCCTCGAGTTACAAAATCGTCCCTAAACTACAAAACCAGATACCCGGCGTCCCTTAACTAATCAAAACCGGTCACAATAGGTTCTTTAATGGTTTTGACTCCGGTTTTAACCTACGTGGCAGTTGAGTCAGCGTGGAACCCACATGGGGCCCACGTGTCAGTATGCCACGTCAACTCTTTTTCCCCTCTTCTCATCCTTCCTCAGATGGGACCCGCTTGTCAGGTGTCTCTTCTACCTCCTTCCCTGCGCCAACACAGAGAAGAGAGGTGTCTCTTCCTCAGAAGGACGGCGAGGCTCCAGCGGCTCGGCAGCAGCGGCCGGCCGGCAATGGGGAGGAGGTCGTCGGGGCGAGGAGGTCCACCTTTCTCCACCAGCCGCCGGCGGCGGTAGAGGAGCTTCGCCGGAGATCAAGCGGAGCCGCAGAGGCACAGCGGGCTGCTCCTCTCCCCGCCCCGTGTCGCCTCTTCCTCCTCGTCGGGCCACCGCCGCCACCGCCACCAGATCGTCGATCCCGTGCCTCTCCTTCCCGGCCACCAAGAGACCCACGCGCCCGGAGCAGGTGGATTCGGGGCCGCATCGAGGTAGAGGTGGCGGGTGGCGTCGCCTCCGAGCTCACCGATTTGCGCCTCCATCCTCTGGTCTCACCGCCCCGCTTCTACTTCTACCCCCATTTTCCTTGTTGCTCGTTGGAATCAGCTGCTTAGATTCGATCCTTGCTTTCTTTTTCCTTTTTTTTTTCATTTCCTAACCAGTTGCTTGCAGAGTAGAGTATAGTAACTTGTTAGAATCAATTGGTGTATGATTTGCTCAGAGTAAATGGTATGCGTAGCGTAGCGCTGTCAATTAACAACAATGGATTTATTATGTCATGCGAATTGTACTGTGATTTCATTTCGTTTTACCTGAAATTAGTATCACCGCCTATTCTATTTCTACTTCCTCCGTTTCACGATTTAAGTCATTATAGCATTTCTCACATTCATATTAATGTTAATGAATCTAAATAGATATATATGTCTAGATTCATTAACACCAATATGAATGTGGAAAATGCTAGAATGACTTACGTTATGAAACGGAGGGAGTATATCACAACCGGTATGGATACTCGGCAGTGTCACTGATGCCTGTCCATCTACTGCTAATTACCATGACAGAATATCACAACCGGCGAGCAGGCGGCGACGCAGGGGACGGAGCCGAGGCGGAGGTAAAGGAGCGGGCCGTGGCACGCGGCGAGGCGGTGGAGCGCCTGGTGCGGCAGCGGCGTGAGCAGGTGGAGGTGGCCCAGGATGGGCAGCCCGAACGGGCTCGGCGGGAGGCGCAGGCCTGGTCCGGCCGGTCGTCGGATCTCCTCGCCCCGATGACCTCCCTACCGCCGGCCGCTGGAGCCACGTCGTCCTTCGCTACTCTTCCTCTCCTCTCTGTGTTGGCGCACAGGGAGGGAGGTAGAAGAGACACTTGACAAGCGGGCCCCATCTGAGGAAGGGAGAGAAGAGGGGAAAGAGAGATGACGTGGCATCATGACATGCGGGGTCCACATGGGTCCCATGCTGACTCAGCCGCTACGTAGGCCAAAACCGGAGTCAAAACCACCTAAGGACCTGTTGTGGCCGGTTTTGATTAGTTAAGGAATATCGGATATCTGGTTTTGTGGTTGGGGGATGATTTTGTTTCCTCTCTGTTAACGCAGATCGGCCTGTGATTGATTAAGACTTGTTTTGTCGATTTAGGTTTGTGGTTTGGGCTGGGCCAAAATTCACTTCAGTTTTCGTTTTCCCCAACGAGAACACTTGCCATAGTTTCTAAAAGAGAGAGAGAACATTTGCCATGTCGATGGGCCTGTTTAAATTATAACCAAAAATAAACCTTACCAAATTTTGGAAGGATTTCTTCTGTATTTATTAAATTTGGTAACAAACTATATTTTTTTTTGACAACTTTACTTAAAAAATAGTATGGTTGAAAATTGCATTAATTTGAACAGCCCCGATGTTGACAAGAGATCGATCTCATCTACGATCTTTTGTTAATTTGATGTCAGAAATCATTTAGCCATCTCCAGATAGAAATTGAGATATCCTAATGTAAGACGAAGAAGTCTAACATGGGACAAAAACAACACATAAATTAAATTGATCAATGGGTATGTGAATATGAGATGTATTTTTTTTTCAATTCGTAGCTCCTTTATAAAACATACGGTCTGCATCATCCAAATTATTTGGCATGAATTTCTGAATAAATGTCATTTTCATAAGAAAAGAACAACACAAATAAACAAATTTCATGAAAAATTCTGATACGCCACAAAGTTGGAGAGCATACTCAACATCTACCACAAAGTTAAGTGGCATTACAGATTTGCTACAAAGTTCAGCAGAATACCCTCGTTTGCCCCCCACCTTCTTTTTCTACCCTAATCTTCTTTCATTTCCCATCTCTTCTTGGATTCTCGACGAAACGACGACATGCATCCGTGAGTAGAGCACTGGCGAGAGATGGTGGCTGAGTATCGACAAGCTGTTGACGTAGAGCACTAGCAAGCGCCTGCCGCAAGGACGAGCGGCAACGGACTGAACATTGGCGAGCACGCGTGAGCAATCGGCGCAGCGAACGACTGACGGCAAAGCCAGCGGCCGAGCATACACGCACAGTAGATTCACCGATAGGCAAGCAAGCACGAGAGCAAGCGAGCTCTAGTAGCGGCTACGGAGAGCTCGGAGAGGGTAGACAATGGCATTGAGGCAGGTTGACAAGCATCAAAAGCTCAGTATGAGAGCAGTGGCGGTGGCAATGCCGTAGGAGTTGAGGATGATATGGGAGTAGTGGTGGTGGCAATGCCGCAAGAGTTGAGAACGAGAGGGGATAGATAGAAAGAAGATGGAGAAGAAGACGAGAGTAATTCTAGTACTTAAAGGATGATATGGCATTCCCACTCAACTTTATGAATAATCTGCAATAATCGTCAACTTTGTGGTAAAAGTGAGTACGCCACTAAACTTTGTGACATACTAGCGAATTTCGTAATTTCATATAGAACACTCTTCTTATTATCTATAAGGTAATACTCACAAACTTAAAACTTCACCAGCATAAAAAAAAGATCCCAAAAACCAAACTAGTAAATCCCTTGTTCACATATCATAAACCATTTTCAATAATATGCATGTCATCAATATTCACAAACCAAGCTAGCAATCCAATTATCCAAAATTTAATGTAACGCGCGCGTGACATGCAACAACAACTCAATTCAAAGAAATGCAAAGCTCAATGTTGCTGTGACGCGTTAGGCAACCTGAACGACCCGCCAGAGTAGAGAGCCATGTAAACCGGCTGTATCCTTGCCGCCAATACCAAGCTCACCGCCGTCCCCACCGAGCAGGCACCGGCGAGCACCACGAACGCGGCCCTGAAGCATCCTGGGCCAAGGCACACACCACCAGAATGTTGTTGCCTCGCGGCCTCCTCGTCGTATAGTCGACCAGTGAGCTCACCGGAGAAGAGCGCTGCGCCGAGCGGGTTCGCCAGGGACATGAGGTTGTAGAAGAGGCCGAAGTTCTTGAGCCCGAACAGCTCTGAGGTCGTTGGAATCATCACTGAGAATTGCACGCCGTAGCAAAGGCCAACGGTGGCCGTGCAAGCGTAGGCGACGGCTGGGCCGAGAGTATAGGCCAAACAGAGGTAAGCGACGACGAGGACGGTTTGCGTCAACGCCATCCATATTGGCCTAGGAACCAACAATGTCGACCTAACCACAGAACAGAATAACACTTCTTTAAAAAAGAATTGGTAATAAATATTTGGACTGTTCTGATTTTCTCAACTACTTAAAAAAAAAAGACCTTCCATTCCTCTCCCGCACTTCATCCTCTAAAAATACTTCCATCTTATAAAACCGATTTCTTAAAAACCCAACCATAGTATAGAAGACCAATCAACCCACTCTGTCCAAATCCTTTTTACTAAACCGAATAAAAAAACCGTTACAATGCACAGGCCAATAACTCTATAAAAATTTCGGTCTCTTTTCAACAAAATTTTCTAAAAATTAGCTATTTTTTTCCATATAACACACATACCTGACAAATTTCTCTGAAATTGCACCTCCACCAAGGCGGCCAAAGAAGTTACCAAGCGCAAACAGGGACAACAAAACCGTAGTGTCACCAATACCAGCAGCAACACCAATCTGTGCCAGATTGTTCAGCACGGTGACACCCGTTCCAACTCCAATGAAGTATCCAACGAACAGCAGCCAGAAATCAGCCTTGACAAGCGCCTCACTGAACTCGAAGTCCTCCCCTCTCCTCGGCCGCCGCCTCTTCGTCCTCCTCACCACCGCCCCCTTCCCTTCCGCTAGCAGCAAATCCACCTTGTCAGATTCCTCCTCGTCGCCATCGCCGCCGCTGTCGACGACCACATGTGGCGGGATCAGCAATGGCTCCTCCGTTGTTTCTGTACTCCGCCGCCGCGGCGAACTCCTGAACAATGTCATCTTCACCGGGATCGCGAGCGGCGCAAGAAGCAGAAGCACGGTGACGATGAAAAGCGTGTAGCTGGTTGCATCGGAGAGTTTGATGGCGTTGCCGAGGACGGTGGTTGTCACGAGGTAGACGGCGAGGACGACGCTCACGGCTTGGGTGAAGGCGAAATGGCCGTCTTCCTCGGTGTCGGCGTCGGTTGTGGCGGCGTCGAGCGTCGCCGGCGTGCAGGGCCTGACGAAGTACATGGTGGCGAGGCATATGGTGGGGAGGCCGGTGGCGAGGAGGAGGAGGAGGCTCGTCGGCGAGCGGTGGAGCACGCCGGAGAAGACCTGGGTGAAGAGGGCGGCGCTGACGCCGATGTAGCCCTTGAGGAGGCCGGCGACGACGCCGCGGCGGAGCGGGAAGTTGCGCATGTTGGTCACCAGCACGGCTGTCAGGAACCACGCGTTGCTGTTTGTTGCCATTGCTAGCACAATCCATAGCTGTTATGTGATGTCATCAATAGCATCGGAATTAATACAACCTTTGTTGCACTTAATTGAGATTTTGTTAAGGTAAAAGATTTGATCATAGAAAAATTGATGATTTACTCTTTATATCATTAAATTAAATTAGTTTCATTAAATCTAATATATTGACTATAGTTTGATAGTATATTTGTTTCCTACATTTCTTTATAAATTTAATCATACTCAAATAATTTTTTTTAAAAAAATAAAACATCTTATAATATAAAACGGAGAATTATTTTTAATAGTTAAAAATGGTATGGCTAGATTTGCTAAAATAGTTTCGTTTGTACTTATATAGTCTTATTTTTATAAACTTGCTATAGAAAATAAGAGTGATTAATATTTCTCGAAAAATCATTTAAAGAAACTATTTCATGTAGTTTAACCTGATGGAGTTGGAATCAGGGTCTGAAATTTCGGTCATATCACCATCCTCGATATGATATTATTTCGGCCAAAATTTTTAATTTTTCATGAATTTTGGTAATATTTGTTACTAAATTTTGTTTAAAATTTTGGACCAAAGTTTTGAAAATATCGCCATATCAGCATCCCAATACAAGTTTTGAAAATACCAAAGATTGAATTCTGGTTGGAATCAGATGAGTGCTTACCAAACAGTACGGCATGGCGACGACGGCGCCACTGACGGCGAGCCAGAGCGCGCCGTAGCCGACGAAGCAGAAGGCCGCGCCGACGAGCAGCACCACCCAGGGCGGGAAGCTGTTGCAGAGCACGCCGGCGACGACGCCGAAGTTCTCGCCGACGTCCTTGGCGACGCCCAGCACGGCGAGCTGCTGCTGCGTGTACCCCAGCGCCGCCTTGATCGCCGGCGAGTAGAGCGGGAACGTGTACGCGTTCCCCGCCGCCATCTGCACCCACACCGCCGCCGCTAGCCCCACCCACGGCGGCCGCGTCCCGGCCTTCAGCCTCACGCCGCCGCCGCCGCTCGCCATGGGTCACGGTCTTTCTCTGTTTCGATCTCTAGCTGATCATGCGATTGTTGTGTTTGGTTTCGCCGCCATTCTTCTGAATGTTCTTGAGCTTTAAATAGGCAGATGCAGCATGTCGATTTTTTTTTCATTTCTTGACATCGTCTTGAGTTTTTAATCCATTTTGACCAAAATTGTTTGGGAGATATGAATTTTGTTCATTTGGATTTAGTAGCTGCATGCCAGATGCATCTTTTTTGTTGTTAAAGTTATCTTTTTTATTTGGGGATTATGATAATGTTGACCGATATATGTTATATGGTGCGTATTCTAGTTTTCCAAATTCAACCAATAATATACTGCACATGCATGCTCTGGTGGATGCCTCAGCTATACAGATTAACATACACAGGGTTATGTTTTTTCTTTGACATCAGGTAGTGTTATGTTGTCCACATATACCATGTTCTTTGATCTAAAAAGATAAAAAATTTCACCTTAGTTTTCCTCCACAGCTGGTCCATTTTTATTACTAGTGAGCGTGCACGTGCAAGGCACGTCACGGATAGACATATATAAAAGTTTTTGTTATGTAGATCGTGCACAAAAGTCATGTTAAGCATTAGGAGTGCCAATTGGTGTTGCAAATCCCTTTTTATTTGCCTAATATTTTGTGTGTTCATTTGCCTCTTCAATGGCATTTTTAATGTCATGGACACTCCTATGGAAGAATCATTATTATCCGTCGCTATTTTAAATTTAGTACATGTACAGATTGGCTACATCCAATCCAGATAGATATATTTATGTATGGATTAACATACATTCTTGTTGTTGATTTTAAGTATACATGCTAGTTCCCAATGTATACACATTCAAGAAAACGTTGTGGTAGGCGTATTATCTATCTAAAGATTCAAACAAATAAAAAGAATATCGGCATTTATAGATAGACCACACAGGGTTTGTATATCAGGATAGCTTCAGGTGCTTGTTGGTTGCTTGAATGTCAATTGACAAAACAGACAAGTACAAATAATTCAGAATTGATGGTTCACCATGCAAGCTCGAAAAATACATAAGTTAGCAAGAAACAGTTTAACATTTAATTATGGGATGCCATTTAAAGAAGAAATGTTTGGGCTGCAAATTTTCAGCTATGCAACCTTGTGAAATATATAAAAGAAATATTATCAGAGAAAAGATAATACGATTGCGAGACTTTCCAAATAATTATATTAGCATAGGAAAGATAAATGGTCCAGGAAAAAAAGGTGTGATAATTTGGAAAAATAAACATATTTATCGGTAGTTCCCTAAAAGTGAAAACTATTCCCTATATCAGAAGTGCCAGGTATAGTATACAAAACCGTGGCTTTATATTACCTTGATCCCTTCCAGTGAATAACTAAAGTACCTTGGATATTATACAACATGCTTTAAGTGGCTTTTTTTATGATTCTTTATGGAAATTCAAGCTTTGATTTTCATAACAAGCTCAATACTGTAGCCCCAGAAGTGGAGAGAATCTATATAGATCATTGAACACACATTTTTCTCAGACGATCCCATATCCAAGAGGTAGTTGATTCAATAAACATTCAAATATTGTCAAACACCTCCTGGGGCTAGATTGATCTCATAGTTTACAATGATGAAATAAGAAATAACATAAGTTTTTATTCATGTACTTTTATCAGATTCAAATTTCACAAAATAAAATTAAAGCCATCCAAAAGCTAATACTGGAGCAATGCCTGACTTAGACCGCCAACAGAAAAACGGTCCAGAGCATGGGAGAGGAATATTCAATGCCTTAACCCCATGCTATTCCTAGCATTGAGTCCTTCGAACAAAGCTGTTTTGCTCCTGCTGCCTCGATTCAAAATCATGTAGACAAAATGCAGAGTATTAATTACAAAATGATATCAGCAGCAGTTACATAGTTTAGCATAGGATCTAATAAAATAAAATGTTTGACACTTTGGATAAGCAAAAGAAATCATGACATGTCTTCCTAGGTAGTGATAAACAGCAAAGCCAAAATACTCATTTAACTATTTCCTGAGAAACAACAAAATTGGCAAGTTCTAAAAGACAAGAGAAAAAAAAATCCAAAAATGAATACCAAAATATACCAGTGGAGACGTACTTAAATTGTTTATCTGGAAGGTTTAGAGGACAGAATGGCCATGACCGGGGTGTGGGCCGGACGCGATCACGATGCGGAAGGGATCTCAATATAGATAACTATGCTCACCTGAACAATGCATGTTCAGGACATCATATCAAGCAGAAGAGAGTCAACTTAGGCATGCTACTTCTCATAATTTCATAGCTTCCCTGTAAAGAAACAAACAGAACAATTAAATTTTACATGAACCAATAAAAGGTCAACTGTATTGTGTAGAAGAAATTCTTCTAAGTTTAATATATACATAACACCGAAGGAAGCAGCACATGCATAAAAGTGCTGGTATTTATCTATTAAAAATGCTTGTGAATCAGGGGAGTTCAGGGGAAATTTAGTGCACTCCGCACACATGTAAGAATTGTTCATCTAGTATAGAAACTTGCAGCTAACAATGAATTCATATGGAACGGCAAAAACTCAAATTATTTTGAGGTGTACATCGAATGCAGAGCTTTCTTTCGGCCAATTACTTTCTTCTTATTTCACTATTCTCTCAGACCATTTGTGGCAACTTTCGAGCAGATTTTGTTCAGAATCATCAAATATTCGAGAAGAAATTCAACTTTGCAAGCAATTAACTTCTGATGATAAATTGAAGAGAAAGGGGAGATGATTTAAAGGATTCACTCAGATTGGCCATAGAAATTATGTAGAAACCTGTAGTGAGTAATAGATTGGATTTAAATATATCTTTGTGAGGTATTTAACTTCTAATGATGAATTGAAGAGAATGGCGGTGATTTAAAGATTTCACTCGGTGAAGGTTGGTCTTGCAAAATTATGAGATAGGCCTGCAATAAGCAAGAGAACATTTATTTGGGAAGAAATTCAACTTTGTAAGTATTTAACTTCTAATGACGAATTGAAGAGAAAATGGTGGTGTGCTTCACTGAGACGGGCCATAAAAAAATTACTCCTATTCAGAGACCTACAGAGAGCAAGAATATTATTTTGGAAGAAAGTAGCCTAAGTACAGAAAACATGAATTAAAGATTGAGTGCATAGGGATAAAGCCTGTCTTGAGCTCGTAGACCGAGGCAGGTTTGGGTTGCAAATTCCATCTTTGTTATGTGCTATCTGCAAGAACTAAGAATTACTGACGAAAAACATGGAAAATTTGATTAAGGGGAATTGTTGATCACACAAAAAGAACTGCCAGCGGCCTGTATGTATGATTCCAATTCATGCAGCAAATAGGACTCACCATGAGATGCAACTCCAACAATTCTGAAGAACAACCAACGGCCCAAATCAGACTTTTCAGGCATAAATCAAATCGCGCGGGGGGGGGGGGGTCAGAATCCAAACAAAGCATTGCTATTCCATCTGACAATCTCTCGTACATCTATCTCGAAACCACTTAGAAATCTGCACATTTTGAGGATCTGACCAAAGGAAATCCAGTGAGGGTTGTCACGGCACCACAAACTTTCGTGTCAGAATAATTTCAAAACCATCATGAACTAATCAAAAGAACCATGAACCATAACAAGCAAACCTCCACCACCCCTATTCATCATGAATCTAACTAATAATCAAAGCAACCATGAACCTGGACCATAATAATCAAACCTCCACCAATTCGGTTCATCTCAACAGGCACTCTCCTTCCTGCATCATCTAGAGGAGCACAAACACATACCACAAGCCAGATCAGCGGTTACAAATAACAATCAACCCAGGGTATCGAATCACCTCGTGTAAGGACTGATAGAAACCGATGATCATCCATCCATCGATTGAAGGTTGTAATCAACCACTCAAATCTGAAATCAATCACCGACCCAAGTGACTAAATCAAACGACCGGACTGTAGACGGGAAACTGACCTCTTCCTTGAGACCTCGACTTGGGAACTTCCAATCAAATCCGCTCCTGCAACAACCGAACACGGCGAAAGGACGACCACAGGGAACAACATATAGAACACAAAAAAAATCAAAACCAACAAAGGATCAGATTGAATTTGAATCGAATCACCGGGGACAAAAAAAAAATCAAACACGTCACAAGCGGGCGGATGCAGGTGAAATTCAGGGCGGCGACGGATCCACGGCTCCGATGGCGACGGTTGCAAGCGGAGTAGGGTACCGGCCGGCGGCGAGGAGTTGAGGAGGCAGCGGGGGGAAGTGCGGCTCAGCGGTGAGGTGAGGCGGGCGGCGCGGCGGCGTGGCTTCGGTGGCGTGGGAGGGCCGTGGAGATGGCGGCGTGGGGGAGGGCGGCGGCGGTGAATTCAGGCGGGCGGAGCAGTGGCGTCTGGCGGCCGGCACGGCGTGGGTTAGGTCCGGCGGGCGTGCGCGTTATTTGTTTTTCGCAGCATTTCCTTTTTTTTTTGGGTGCACGCGGTGCGGTTTCTTTCTTAGGGATGACAGGTGGGTCCCACGCGACAGCGGATCTGAAGGATTGCAGTATAGATTAGTTCCCACATTCCACTATGACTAAGCACTTGCTTGATGATCTATTTTTAAAGTAATTTTGACAAAGTACAGGTATTTTAACCAAACTATTACAAAACCTATAAAACTATTACAAAACTACATATTCCGCACTAAAATTGTTACAAAACTATGGATTTAAAGCTGAGTATCACAAAAACTACAGTTTTAACATTGAAATTATCACAAAACTACTATTTTATAGCTTTACAAAACTACATATTCCGCACAAAAAATCGTTATAAAACTACATATTTCACACTAAAATTGTTACAAAACTATGAATTTAGAGCTGAATATCACAAAAACTACAGTTTTAATATTGAAATTATCACAAAACTACTATTTATAGCTTAAATTCCTAGCACTACTATTATGTTAGCTATAAATGTTTAGTTTTACGATTAATTTGGTGCTAAACTTATAGTTTGTGATAATTTTGTTACTAAAATTATAGTTTTGTGATATTTTTGTTACTAAATCTGTAGTTATGTGATACTTAGTTTTAAATTTGTAGTTTTATGATAATTTTAGTATCAAATCTGTAATTTTGTGATTCAACACCTTATAAATCTTATTATTTTACGTAGTTAAAATATTTGTAGCTTTACAAAATTTACTTTTTTTACTGTAAATTTCATTCTACCTTACCAACGTCAAGGTGCTAGACTGATAGTAGTAGACAAAGGTACCTTAAATTAAAACTACGTTAACTTAAATAAGAGGGACATGGATCCCTGATAAGTGGGACCCACCCTCATGGAACCACACGTCACGAACACACGTCCTTTTGACTTAAGTTAGAGGGAACCTCGTTGACTTGTCATGAACACCTTAGCTTCCTTGTCCTCATCTCTTCAATGTTGACCAAGGGAGGAATCAATGATTGTCCGCCGATGAGGTGGAAGGCCTGGCATAGAGGCTCGCCTCCACTTGCCATCTAGACAGTTGCGTCCTGCTTCCACGCTGTGGCTGCTTGGGGTCGAGCTTAGCACCAATTGGTTCTCCTTGCGTCGTTGTCGAAAGGACCCATCCTCGCCTTGACAAACCTCGACCTCCAACTCTCCATGCCGGCTCACCATGGGAGGAAGATCGACGGGGCGGAGTAGACGATGCCTTATGCACTAGTGGATCTTGCGAGGTCACCACCCTCTCGGTGTTTTCTTCCACACCCCCTTCCCCTATCAAGCTCCACTCCACCTCTTCCTGAGCGGTCGTGGCTGCCCTCCTCTCCTGCTCCCTTCCTGCCGTAGTGGATGTCATAGAGCTAGAATTGGAACCTCTCTCCAACGATGACGTCGATCTGTTCTTTTTTCTGACTGAGCTTGGGAGAGGAGAGGCGTTGATATGGTCAAATGTTCCCCAGTGTTGGCCACGCACACTTGGCATCATGGTCCAGGTACATCATTGCGGCCGCCTAGCTCTGCTTTTTAATTCGTTACTGCCAACAGTGGTGCACTACTTAAAAAACCCTCATAGGTACCTGCTCATAGGTTCTAGTTTTTAAAAAACGGGCACCTATTGACAGTTTCCCACCTCCATGAGAGAGAAAAATATGAAATCGGCACCTTTGAACGACTATTGGTGCCTGTTATAAATTAAAATCGTACCTATAATATATTGTAGGTGCCAGTTCTTTAAAATAGCGGCATCTATTATAGGATCCAGAGAGAGTGGGTTCATATTGCTTGGGTACAGTGTCAGATTTAGAAATTTTTTTTTAGCCTAGGCAAACCTAACGATAGAAAACAAATTAACACGTAAACACAAATACATATAGCATTTTATCATGGATAGAAGTAAAATTGGGGTATTAGCTAATGACTAAGTATGATAATTAGTGCTAATCTAATGGTGCATGTACGCAGCTAGGTTAATGGCTAGGCACCATAGTTAGTTCTAATGCATTGATGCATATGCGGCGGAGCCCGGGCACCTGCCCGTGCTGGCCGGGCCTTGGCTCCGCGACTGCTTGGGTAGTTCTTCATCTTGTGTAGTTCTTCATCTTACTAGTGTTGACCTGTGATGGATAGGGATGAGGATTATTGTTGTTAATCTGTGATCTGCGATGGTTGGGGATGAGGATTGCTGTTGTTGATCTGTGGTCTTTGATGGATGAGGATAGGGATTATTGTGGTTAATATGTGATATTGATGTATGGGATTAGGGGCTGCTTGTAGGAGGACGCTCGAAAGCACCGGCTCAATGAGCCAATGCTTCGAGCCGGCTTCTCTTTCTTTAAAAAAATTTTTGGAGAGAGCACAAAGGTGTTGGTTCTATAACCGTCACCAATGACATTAACCAATGATCTAATGTCATTGGTGTCGGATGTGAAACCGACATGTATGCCAGTTTTGCAACTGGCACCTTTAAGGTGTTATGCAGTAGTGGTGAGGATGGAGTTGCTGACGGTGCTAGAGGTCGGTGTTGCTACTGCGGCGCTAATGTAGGGAAGAGAGAAGAGAGGAGGGAGAGAGTTAAAAGGGCATAGAGAAAAGAAGATGACGTGGTCACTTGCATATGGGTCCCACTAGAAGAGTGAGAGTGTTAACAGTGAAATTTGGTAATCGGCAAAGACGTCATCGGCTTAGAATCATTATCGGCTGCAGCATCTCGGAATCAGCCGATGGGAGTTATCAAGTCGCCAATAGTCGGATTCCTGCTATATTCGGTTAAGGAAATCAATCTACTAAAGGAAGCTTATCCCTAAGTGACCGAGTTTAAAGAGGATGCGGCATGGTAGTTTATCTATTAATTAGGAATAGTTTGTTAGCTTCCTTTGTGTTTAGTGTCCGATAAGGACTTTATGTTTTCCTTTTATCTTTAGGAAAGTTTCTTTCTTGTCCGACAAGGACTTGTATCAACCCATGGGTATAAATATGTACACCCGGGGTCTATGTAATCGATCTTCACGATCAATACAATTCGGCGCATCGCCACCTTTTACCTTTTCTACTTTTGTTTTTACGTTCCGGCGGAACTTGGCACCCGATGCGGGGCTGCATCGTCTTCGATCTCTGGCGAAGGGATAAGTCCAATGTTCTGCCGGCCCAGGCAATTGTCTCATCTACATCGGTGTCGTTAAAGGTTGCATCAATACATTCGACCTCTTGGATTGCTCTGATTTGGATGATATATTTGTCTACCTATTTATCATATGTCTCTGTTAGTCTAGTCTTAGCATATCAATTTAGCACTATCGGCTGCTTCTCGTTTTAGGGTTTCTGCCGGTATCGGCTAAATCGCTTTGCTAGATTAGATTAGCTTAGACATCTACCACCCTGAAAACACAATCAATGGCTTGATTGTCTAGATATTATGTTTCTTTTCATACTTAGTGCTGCATCAGTTAAGTTTGATCTACTAAGTCGTGCTTAGAACCATAATCTCTAGCCTGCTTTTGATTGCCAATAAGGGTTTCATCGGGGTTTCAGCCGGTGAGTTATCTGGACGTTGCATCGACTCATAAGGATTGCATATACATATAGGTTGGATTTAGCCGATGACAACAAAGGTTTCATTGTTTAATCTAATCTTGTAAATTTCATGACATCGGACCTCCAGCCGATTTGTGCTTTAACCTTCGGATCGATGCTTATTTATCATATCATTATCTGCCGATTGGTTTATACTGAACTATATTATTGTTATATTTTATTATCAACAGCCGATTGCCTTTATATCATCATCTACATTGGACATATAGCCGATTGCTTACACCCTATCGCTATCGGCTGGTATCGGCATCGGCTATTATCGGCATCGGCTGGAACTACTCCATCGGCTTATCAGCCGATCGACTGTTTTGATCTACTATTTGCATATCTTGTCAGTTGCAGGATCAAACTGACTGGCACGCCCGCATCTCATCAATATTTGGACCTACATAGGAGCTAAGCAGATCTCCCAGGCCGATGTGTTCGATTTTTTTGTCAACAGAGAGAGAGGATGACACTTGCGTCCAATTGTTTTTTTTTTTCTGAAGTGAACTGAAGAACAGGTTAATGTGCCAAATAGACGCAAAAAGGCTAAAGGGCGATGGATCACTTGGAGCGATCAACTTCCCCTCCTCCACGTGGTTTTCTTTTTTGGCACCGTATTACTTTTCTATTTTAATAAATTTATGCACCTAAAGTTTATACACCTCAAGTTTACACATCTAAAGTTTAGAGATCCAAATATAAGTCAAAAGTTTATATATCAGATTCAAATTTGAATTTGAATTCAAATATTTTTTATATATAGTAGTTCTATGCATTTAAAGTTTATACACCTAAAGTTTATAGACCTAAAGTTTATAAGTCAAAAGTTTATATATCCCTTTCAATTTAAATTTGAATTTAAATATTTTTTACATATAGTATTTCTATACATAATTTTTTCCAACTTTATTTTTTATTTTTTTTAAAATTTATGGTGTAGTAGGAAGAGAATAAGGTGAGGAAGAAGAGAGAGAGGAGCGTATTGGGGGGGGGGGGTGAATAGGGGGTGATCACTCCGAGCGATCATAGGCACACCCCAATATACGCCGACACTAAAACGTAGTCTAAACTGCTAGGGACACAAAATGAACCGGTGAAATAAAACATCTGGTTTGTGGTTCAGGGAGACAAAACAGACTTGCCCATAATTTAGGGACACAAAGCTAATTAGGATATCGGGCCGGCCTAATATCAGCAAAGCGGCTTCCAGCTGCCCCTGGCCAGCCCAGCTTATCCCCGATGACGTCTGCAGCCTGCTAGGTAAAAGCCCAGCATGCCTGCATCGCCTAGAAGTAGGAATAAGTTCACCAGGGGTCCCTAAACTTAACAGCGAGATTTTTTGAGGTCCATTAACCACAAAACCAGAAATCTCCACCCCCTAAACTATAAAAAACCGTGTAAAAAAAAAGGTCCCTAGGCAGTATTGACCTAATTTTTCTACGGTTTCACTGACGTGGCATATGGTGGGACCCACATGTCAGCGTCCTCTCTTCTCCTCTTTTCTTTTTCTTTTTTCTTCTTCTCTTTTCTTTGTCCTATCGTCTCCTCTTCTCTTCTTCCTCCCTCTTCTTTTCTTCCTCCCCGAGCCTAAGAGGCCGGTGGGCGGGTGGGGCAGCGGGCGGAGCAGGCAGGCGGCGACGGGCGAGCACGGAGGGAGACAAGGTCGCCGCCGCCGCCACTCCACTCTACTCCGTCGGTCACTACGTGTCGGAGGGCGGCTATGGACAGCACTAGCCGCTGCTGCCATTTGGCGAGTCGTCGTGCGGTCCCTTCAACATCCTGGATCAGAGGCCTAGGTTCGCCAACCGCCACGGCCGCCTCTATGAGGCCAACACCCGCAGCTTCCTCGACCTCGCCGAGCATGACATTCGCGTCGCCGTTGTCAACATCACCGCGGTGTGTTTGCGTCGTCGTCCACGCGCCTCGCCATGCACCCTCGCCTCACTGCGCATTGGATTGATTGGTATATGATCGCGTGGTTTCGTTGCGTTGTATTGCAGGGATCCATGAACGCGCCATTCTACAACACCCGGTCGGTCAAGGTCGCGTATGTCCTAGATGGCGAGGGGGAGCCCGAGATCGTGTACCCGCACATGTTCCCGCACATGTCGCCCGGTGGCCGCGGCGGTGAGAGCGAGGAGCGCCGCCGCGAGCGCGGCAAGGGCAACTGGCGTGAGGAGGAAGAGGAAGAGGAGGAGCAGAAGGGGTAGGAGGACGAAGAGGAAGAACAAGTCGGCCACACCGGCGGTAGCAGCTAGCCGCGGCGCAGCGCACCTTCTGCCAGCCACTCGCGGGGCGCATCCTCGCCACGGCGGGGACCGGGAACGCGGCCGTGTCTGCCCCTGCCGTTCAGGTCTCCCTGGTGCTCGCTGCGGGCGCCACGCGGAGGTAGGTGCTCCAGATGCTCGGCTGCGGCGGCGACAGCAGGGGTGGCACATATCAGAAGTAGCTTCTACCGCCGGCGCCCCCTCTCCTGCCGCTCCTCTCCCCTGCCGCCGCGCCGTGCGCCGCTACTCTCCGCTGCCGAGCTTGCCATCGCACCGGCCGTCTTTCTCCCCCTCTCCCGCTGTCGCCGCCCTAGCTCTGCTGCCGGTCGCCTCACGCCCGAGTCTGCCATCGCGCCAGCTCGAGAGGAGAGAAGAGAAGAGAAAAATAAAAGAAAGGAGATATGTGGGCCTACACCATTTTCTCTCACTTACATGTGGGCCCCGCATATTTATTTTTTTATTTTTTGCTGACTAGGATGCCACGTCAGCAAAATCAGGTGTAAATACTACCATGGGACCTCCTTTGCATGGTTTGAGTAAGTTAAGGGATTAACATTTCTGGTTTTGTGGTTTAGGGACCTCAAAAAATCTCGCTGTTAAGTTGAGGGAGCTCTGGTGAACTTATTCCCCTAGAAGTACTCCTTCCCAGCCCACTGCTTGGCAGAAAGATGAGTTGTTACGCTACTGTTGCAGGCTGCAACATGAATGTAATGGGCTTTGAATGTTGATTCTGGCCTGTTGGAATTTGTTGTCTTATGTCATTATGCAATTGGTCCATTTGTGGCCTAGTTTTGGGCTGGATATGCACAAAGTTGGGCTCACCATGCGTGCGTCCTCAGCCCAACTGATTTCAGCTCAACTCTACTACTCCGTCGTACTACTCCATACTATTGGGGACAGGCCTTTTGCCTTATAATAAATAAATCATTCAATACAAGTGATTGCTAATTAGAGCGCACACTATTTTTCCTTTTAATAGCACTTCCATATGAAACTTTCAACCAAATTAAATCATACAACTTTTAACTTAGAATTATAAGAAACTTTCAGTTGTGCAAACTTTCATCTTGAATTAGAAAAAAAGTTTAACTCAAAACCTGAAAACTTGTGCGGTGGGAACGCAGCTGCGCTAAGGTTGCAAGAGCAAGTTCCCAACACTCACCTCTCATTTTCCACGCGCACGCTTTTCAAACTGCTAAACGGTGCGTTTTTTATATAAAAAAATTATATACAAAAGTTGTTTAAAAAAATCATATTAATCCTTTTTTTTTAAAAAAATAGCTAATACTTAATTAATCATGTGCTAATGGACCGCTCCGTTTTCTGTGCATGGGAAATAGGTTCCCAATACCCACCTCCGAACACACAGCCTAAATAGCAATTTCGTCCAACATCAAGCACAGATATTGATGAACACTTTAAACTTGCATACAAGATTTGATTTATCCATTGATATGTAGTACAGTATCTGTTACAAAATATCACCATGTTGATCATAACATAATGTGGCAAATTAGCAAGATGTGGCTACTGAATTGACACAACTTAATCTGAATGTAATTAACAACCTGATGCGGCCTGCTTGCCTCTCCTAGCAACAAAGCACTAGCTAATTAAAGCACAAAGAAAAGAAGAGTTCTTTGTAACATGGAGACGCACTCTGTTTTTTTTATCTCTGAACAAAAAATATATCAAAGGGATAAAAATAAGGAGAAGAAGGCTAAAAATGTAATCCTCTGTCGATCCATGGAAGTGTCTTGGCTGGCCGTCGTCGTCTTCGCCTCCGGCCAGCCAGCCGGCGCGCTGTGCACGCATGGCGGCGGCAGCGGCGGCGGCGGTGGCTTTTTTTTCTTTATTGTGGTGGTGGTCGCTAGCTGACCTGCTCGCCGATGAGGTCGAGGCCGACGGCGAGGAAGGTGACGCCCTGGAAGAGGAGGAAGTAGAAGTGCAGCCCCTGCGCCGAGAGCAAGCTGCGCGTGGCGGCGGTGAGGAGGAGGAACGCCAGCGCGAGCTCCTTCTTGAAGATCCGGTTCGGAGCCTTCGCCGCCTTGCTCTTCTTCACCGGCGTCCCCGGCGCCGCCGCCGCCGCCGCCGCCGCCGTGGCGTCCTCCTGCTCCTTGTGCAGCTTGGCCCACTCCTTGAGGCCGCCCTCGGAGACGCCGCGGTGGAGCTTGGCCGGTGGCGGCCGGGCGTCGGCGTCGGCGGCCTCGGCGAGGGCGAGGATGTCGGACTCCGACGAGGTCCTGCCGGCCTTCTTGGTGACGACCCACTCGTAGGAGCTCCCCAGCTGGAAGAGGCCGGAGACCATGGCGTTGAACTTGGTGACGGACATGGTGTTCTCGAAGAGGAGGTAAGGGATGACGAAGGGGAACGACTTGGGCGCCGGCAGGATGTTGAGCACCGACATGATCACCGGCACGTAGCAGATCACCCAGATCGGCAGCTCCGCCTCCGGCACGAACATGGTCAGCGGCAGGATCACGCAGAAGAGCGTGAACGAGTAGAATGGCAGGATCAGCTTCCGCAGCAGGAAGAACAGCATAACCAGGTTCGCCTTCTTCCACGTCGAGATCTGCAAATATCATATAATATAGTGTCAGAGCTGAATTAGCTCGAGATCATCCTCATCTCATTAGCAATGGCGGCGGCCGGCGCGCCGGCGTCGATGAGGTTATTACCTTGGACTTGAAGACGGCCGGGAGGCAGAGACGGAAGAGCTGCATGGGGCCGGAGTGCCACCGGTGCTGCTGCTTCCGGTAAGCCTGGTACGACTCCGGCAGCTCACAGAGGACCTAGAATAATACAAGAATGCAACAAATGGCATCGTTCAATCATAGTAGCCATAGCCAATGTTTTAAATAGCAGGCTAAGATATTTAGTGGTTGGCCTTCTCAAATAACTATAGCGGGCTAAATAAATACAGCTATAGCAATTAAATTTTACATGAGAGTAAATAGCTAAAACACTTTTTAGACGGAGATTTAAAACCCTGATTAAACAACCATGGAGCATGGACATGTGGATGGCTGGATGCATGGTTAACATACATACCTTGACGTCGTTGAGGAAGATGAACTTCCAGCCGTTGAGGTGGGCGCGGACGGCGATGTCCATGTCCTCGACGGTGGTCCGCTCCATCCAGCCGCCGGAGTCCTCGAGGGCCTTGATGCGCCACACGCCGGCGGTGCCGTTGAACCCGAAGAAGCTGAGGTAGACGCCATTCACCTGCTGCTCCACCTCGAAGTGGAAGCACAGGTTTATGTTCTGCAGCCGGGTCAGCAGGTTCTCGTCCTTGTTCACGAAGCTCCACCGCGCCTGCACCAGCCCTAGCTCCGGGTTTCCCTATTGTAATACGTACACAAAATTTCATTTCGATTTAGTTTAGTTTGTTTGATTGATCGATCTCCAACATGTTTGACCTAATTATCCGCTTGTTAATTAATTAATTAATTAATTGGTTATTCTAGAAGAAGCAAATTAAATCACAAAATGATTCCATTGACCTTGGGATTCGATATGTATTAGCCTCATCTTTCGCGACTTGTAGATCTCCGATCTAAAACGGTCTAAAAATGTATAATCCATGCATAAAATTAATGAAACATAAGAGACCCTTTATATTAATGGATTGTGATAATGTGTCTCACTGACTGATGGGTCCCATATTTTGCATCATGAAGTTAAGTTTATTCTAAAGATGAGACTACTGTATCGCTAGATTCGGCAGTTGTGCAACATGTATAGTAATGTGAACGCACGCATCAGTTTAGTCAAAAGGAGAGCCAATCTTTGGAGGTCAACTACTGTACCGAATCTATGATTTGGACTTACATGGTCCATGCATGCATGCCCTAACTGCAGAAACGCTTATTACTTGCATGTCCAAAGTCCAAATAGTATACCCCTCTTAACATGTTGTTAGTAGTAGTACTATTATAAATAATCACTAACTAATTAATTAGGCAGAGGTTTATTACAGACCTTGTAAGTCGCCATGGCTTTTATTAGGCTCTAATACCAAAGCATAATCTCAACACATTTGTATACTATACTGATCTCGAGCTCTTAGGGAATATTTCTACCCGCGATTCAACACTGGCTAACTTATAGTAATGCAATCCTCTGGCCATTGAGATCTGAGACTTGGAACTGAAGGCACACATCTTTCAATCCCATTGGACATATACTTATATATATGCACATTTGGCACATATACTATTAGACTAGCTAGTATCAATTTATAAACAGGGTGCAGAAGAGTGTTTCGATATTACTCAATCAGTGTACGGTTTGTTGCAGAAATCGGATGATTTCAGTTGCTCAACGAAATCTCCACATATATATTGCTTAAAGAAGATGAAGAGTGTGACATGTACTATTTACTACTCTGTCTAAAAAAAAAAAGACAAACTCTAGCTACGTCCAGATTCAATGATAGGATTGGACTTTTCTTTAGAATGAAGGGGTATGTATATTACCTTGAAGTGTGGGACGGTGAGCTTGAGGAAGTCGGGGTTAGGCTGGAAGTCAGCGTCGAAGATGGCGACGAACTCGTAGTCGCGGACGTAGTCGCAGCTCATGGCGGACTTGAGGTTGCCGGCCTTGTAACCGGTGCGGTTGAGGCGGTGGCGGTAGATGATGTTGACGCCGCGCTGGCTCCACTTGGTCACCTCCGCCTTGATCAGCATCTGGCACGTCTCGTCGTCCGAGTCGTCCAGCACTTGCACCAGCATCCTCTCCCGCGGCCAGTCGATCTGGCACACATGCGATATCGACGTCTCATACACCTGCAACACAACATTAATTTCATAATCATATGCTCGGAAACAACTCCATATCAATATGTAGTGTACATAGGGTTTTAAATCTCCCGCTATAGCTGTTTTAGAAGGGTTCTAGCTATTTGTTCTTATGTACAATTTAGCCGCTATAGCTCCATTTAGCCTGCTACAGCTGTCGCTATAGCTGTTTGAGAAGCTAACCGCTAAATGCCTTAGCTCGCTATTTAAAACATTGTCAATATAATTGATTACCTCTTTCTCGTTGCACATTGGCATCTGGATGAGCACCATGGGGAAGTAGCCGCCGCCGTCACCGGCGGTGGCCTCGATGTCGTCGTTGGAGATGGAGGTGTCGGCGACGGGCTTGATGCCGCGGAGCTTGATCCAGAAGCAGCCGAGGCAGAGGACGAGGCGGTCGACGGATTGGACCATGAAGAGGGCGATGCAGAAGCCGGAGAGCTTCTGGATGGCCCAGGCGATGTAGTCGATGCGGAAGGCGAGCCACGCCACGTAGGCGCGGTGGAGCCACCCCTCGATCTCCTCCTTCTCCGGCATCCGGAGGTGCTCCGGCAGGTGGCGGCGGAGGTGCTCCGGGAGGTGCTGCAGGTGCTCGGGCAGCCGCCGGAGGTACTTCTCTGGGAGCCCCGCCGCCGAGCGGGGGAAGTGCCAGCCCTTGAGGTGGGCCACCGTCTCGAAGGCGAGCATGGCGAGGGAGAGGAGGAGGAAGCCGCGGAGGAAGCGGAGCATGGCGCGGCCGCGCCCGGAGGCCTCGGCGTCGGGCTCCGCGTCGGCGTCGCGGCTGCGGCGGACGCGGCGGTTCACGGCGCCCAGGACCGCCCAGAACCCCGCGGCGAGCCACGCCACGCAGCCCACGGCGCGGTGCGCGCGGAGGAGGAGCACCCACGTGAGCTGCTTCGCGTTCTTCCCCCGCGCCTTCTCCGACGGCGCCGCCATGCCCGGCCCGTCGATCTCCACCAGCGAGTAGGGGTTGTCCATCTTCACCACCACCGGCGTGCCCCGCTCCTCCTTGCCACCCCACCACGACTCCGAGTACGTGTTCGGAGGAGGCGCCATTGCTGCCTCACCTAGCTCGAGCTAGCTAACTCTTCCTCTGCGGCCGCCGCCGTCGCCTCGGTGTCCGTGTCGCGGCGCCGGAGAAGCCGACGATGAGCTAGCCGTTGGAAAGTGCAGCTTGCTAGGCTTGGTTCCAGCAACTCACCATGTGAGGTTGCTTCCTCCTTAGGTTACCCTTGCTTGCTGCCCTCTTGCCCCCTCAGGTACAAGATCTTGTGCTTTTCAGTGCAGTGTTGCTGTTGCTGCTGATTTAACTTCAATTTCTCAGTCTTACCTCTGATGAACAAACTCACTCACTCACTCACTCACTCACTCACCTGTCAACAAACAAAAAAAGATAAATCAAATGAGCTAAAAACACTACTACAAACAAAACACAACAAGATGAATAATTTTGGCAGAACCAACCAATCAACCATCAAATATGAACAGTACTACTCACCCTGTAATTCTTTGTTCTGTGACCCTGATGATGAGAGAACCAAGAAAATGGTACTCTCCCTGGCTAATTAAGGTGCCTATGAGCTTCAGATCCAAGAAAGGTGCAGACTAGACTGCCTTGGAGGAGACCAATGCACAGTTGCACACACACAAACACACAAACACAAGAGCTAGTAGCACTCACTCTGGTGTCTAGAGATCAGCTCACTCAGTGGCTAGCTGATTTGAGGATAGTAGAGATACAGTGGAGAGTAGTACTAGCTACCAGTTGATCAGTAGTAGTAGAAGTAGCACTAGGGTGTACACACCAATTGCTACTTTGATCTTCTTCTTTTTCTTCTGCTGCTGATGCTAGCTAGCTGCTGCACTACAAGCTCCAGACTCTAGACTCCAGAGTAAGGCATCAGGTAGGCCACTAGTAGGGTTTTATAGAGAGATTAACACTAACACTTTGCACTGGTTAGGAGTAGCTAACACAGTGTAGTAGCTGGCTTGGCTTGTTCTTAATTACTATTATTTTATGCTGGGAGAGTAGTACACTAGCTGTGGCTGCAAGTTTTGACCTGATTTGGGCATTAAATTTCTTGGCAATGGAGGTGTGATCTTGGGTTAAAAAAAGCTTGGGAAGAATTGGGGAATCTGCCGGCACCGTGTGCGTCGATCGAGTCCATGCCATGTGGGACACTTTTAATGAAGAGCTATAGCTATTCTAGCTATTAGCCCGTTGCTGCTTGCTGCAGGGCCAGTGCTGCTAATTGTTGTTAACTTGGACAGAAATGTATACTAGTATTGTGTGTGTGAATTAACCGTTAAGCCAGGGTCTAATTGCGGCTTTGCATGCCTGATTAAGAAGCTTCCTTGGAATTTCTGGGGATTGGGTTTGCCTGCCCTGGCTGTCCTGCTTGCACTGTTACACATGCTCTTAATTTTCGCCAAGCTCGATCGACTTAACCGGGCTTAATTGGGTGGGCTTAAATTGGGCTCGGATTTGACATGACCTAAACTGGAATATTGATTGAATTAATATCAATTTTGGACGGATGAGTTCACTAAAATATTTTTGAGAAATTACAAGTAAACTGGTAATGGCATTAATTTTCAGCACATTTAACTCTAACTTTTGGTTGACAAATTTAATTTGCAAGTAAGCTTTTGAGTTTAATTTGGTTGACTTAATAAAGCTGTACACAAGCGTCAATGTAATTAATTTTGTTCTTGGTAATTTAACAAAGTTTTTTACAATAATGTCTACAAATGAGAGTTCTGAAAGTGCACCATCTCGAAAAAAATCGCTACACGACAGAAAGAACAGTGAACTTGGTGGACCGTTCAAGTTGTGCATTTTCTAATTCCTAATATTTTTTTCCTAAATCAATTGTGTTGTCAATTGTGCTGCTAGCTCGAATTTTTTTTATCTTGCCCACAAGAGAGCTTTTCCCTTTCTTTAGAAGTTGTGGTTTCAAATTTGTGTTCATCCTTGATGGTAATTAAACTTTTTTTCCTATAATTGATATATTTTGCCACACCTATACCATTTTCCTTTAGTCATGTCTAATGTAACTGTTAAAATTTTATTCTTACTATTTTGCGTGCTTAAATATTATGTGAATCCAATATATGCATGAGACCTGATTAATGTGAGTTATAATACTTCATGCTTCCATATCGTGGTTGTTTCTTATATTAGGCGGTGTAACCTCTGGTATCAGAATTTACGTTTCCTTAATTTACTGCTTGATGTGATCTTTGGTACTAGTAATCTAATGTAGTATAATCAGTTTACCTTTTGCATACATCTCGTGGTCGCCGTATCATGTATACATACTCTTGAAACATTTACTTGTCACACATCTCAAACAAGTCAATCAAGCAATCTAACGTTCGGAAAACATGTATCACATGTTTTGACAGAATTTTGCATTACTTTGATCATTGCACACTCACTTGTTAAATACACTACAGGTAGTTTAACCTTAACACTTCCATTTCGCATGATTCTCTTCCCCTCGCGCGCATAGGTATTGACTGAGAGGGGAAATCCACTCATAATTTATTTACATATACACATACACGAAAGTATTTTCCATGAGAAGAAATTAATGTACTAATGTCATTTTGACATATATCAAATCATAGCATTTGTGCATATACAAGAGTGAGATAGGCTTTCATGGTTTGATGTTCTACACACTCTGCAATGACACACCTCTTTTTGAAAACAGAGTTTATATAATAAAATTAGACTTTAATATTATGAAAGCATTCAATCTAATGATAATTTTCATAAAACTAATTTATAAAAAGCATCAAACACATTTCAGTCTAAGAATATATCAATGTTGACATCCAGTGAGGGGAGCACCAGTTGTGTGGTGGAGTACTGCTAGCTGTGGGTGCACTACTTAAATGAGAGTTCAAATCCTGGTACTCACGAATACTACGTTCATGTGAATATATACATTTCTAATTAATAGTATTTTTGTAAGCCTAGGATTAGCCGCTGGTTTTCATATTTTGAAACGTGTGTTAGGATGCGCAATGGCAGATGCGTGAGTGTGGTGTGCTTATGCAGTGGTATGTGCATACGCCTTCAGTGTAATCGAAAAAGAAAATGTTTGATATCCAGTGCATCAAGTAAAAAAAAAAGGGAAATTAATGATACTTCTGTATATTTAATTTTGTGTGATAAACGGGTCATAATGAGTACTTCTCTATTCCCTTAAATATAATCTTGATGCTCTTGCTAAGTGTCGTTCTCTCATTACATATATGTTTGCCGAAGTGAAGGGGGTACACAAGTTAATTAATATATATAATGATCATTTTGTATCACGTCCTAGTTAATTTATGGGGAGAGTTAATTAGTGACCAATACGTGTGTATGTGTCCCTTGCAATGTGGAAATAACCAGATCGACTAGAGAAACTTACAGTTGGTTAACAAAGGCATTGATAAGTTTCATAAAGAAAAAAGTGTGAAACCACACGCAGCTTCACATGCATGGTCAAGAAAAACTCATAACTAGCGAAAGATTTCCCCTCGAAATGCTCTAATAAAACCAAATTTTAGTACAACAAGCTCGCCTCTAATTATAGCCAGGTCAAACCCAGTTGCATTATTAAAGTTTAAGCCTGATTTGATCATAGTCAAATGATGATGGTATGGATCGACGCGGTATCTCAAAACTCTCACAAATTCCTAGGACAGAAGCCCCTCGTGGCCTGGAGCACTTGTCCTTGGTTGCAATTTTTTTCACCTCCGTTTCACAATCTCGATGCAAATTTGGTTCCTACCTAGCTAGTGAAATTAAGGAAATTAAAGAGGGACACCATCAAAAGCTTCAATGTTGCAGTGCGCCAATTAACAATGGGTATTACAGTAGTATTTATGTGAGTGAGTGCCATTGCATGCAAGTGTTTATGCGATCAATCCAATTTGCATGAAGGCAAGATCATGATAAGCATGACACGGCATCAAACGCATCACCTCGGAGTTTAGGTTTCCATTTTTCAATTGCTATGTACATGTACCATTAAACACAACACACACAAATAAGCCCCCTTTATTCACCACTACAAAATATATTTTTTTTGCAAACGGCCCGAAAAAAGTTTTCCCGTGCGGAAGGGCTAGCCGCCGCCCCCATGCCTCCCCACCGTGCGATCCACCGCCGCCGTGTGGGGGGAGGACGGCCACCGTCGGATCCGCGCAGGCAAAGGCCACCATGTCTCATGACCACTAGATCCACCGCTCCTGCGCGTGGGCGATAGCCGCCGCGCCTCCCCAGCGCAGGATCCTCCGCGCGGGGAGAGGGCGGTCGCTGTTGGATCCGTGCCATCGCGCGCCTCCTCTGCCCTCCCTTGCTGCCCGAGCCCTCCGTTGCCGCCGCCGCTGCCCGTCGCCGTCACCTCCCGTGCCCCGCGTGCCGTGTGGTCGGAGAAGAGGTGAGGAGAGGAAGATAGAAAGGAGAGAAAGTCAGAGAGAAAGGAGTGAAAATAAAAGGGAAAGGAAGATAGAGGAGGTGCAAGGTAATAAATAGTGTATAGATGGTTGGTAGCGGATTAGTGTATGGGTAGCGGATTGCGGATAGCGGGTGCTATTGCGGACGCTAAGCTCCAATAGTGGAATTAAAAAAATAACCATAACTTTAGATTGTATATCAATATTAACATCAAGTTTCACTTAAAATTTAAAATTTAGACTGTATGCTTAGTTACTTATACATTTCATAACATAAAAAATTATGAAATAGCATATAAATATATAAGATAAAGAAGGTACACAATGTTAAGTTATTCTTTCCCTATGTGAAGAACACTATTTAAGCATTATAGTGATCCAACAAAGTCAATAGCGGGCTGCTATAGCGGCCGCGAAGCGCTATAGCAAGCGCTATAGCGGTCGTGAAGCTCTATAACGGCCGCTAAGTTCCAATACGCTATTAGCAGTCCGCTACTGTAGAGGTTCGCTACCGCTATAGAGGCCGCTATTTCGGGTGCTACGAACGCTATTTATTACCTTGAGGAGGTGAAAAATTTGAAGTGAGTGAGAGGGAAGAGAGAGAGAGAGAGGAGGGGAGAAAAAAAATCTGTAAAGGAGAATGATATTTTTACGTGTGGTCCACTTAAGTGGCCCACCTGTGAAAATAAGCTCATTTTCACGTGTGGTCCACTTAAGAGGCCCCTCTACGGAAACCGATTTTCCATGTGGTCCTCTTAAGGTGCACGTGAAAATATAGGATAATTTTTACAGACGCGACCAGTTACAGTCCATCTGAAATCTAAAGAGGTCCTTGTACAGAAAAATTGTTTTTTAGTAGTGATTAATAATTGGTTAAAGAAGACATGGACTAGATGTAAAACCCTTAAACTTATTATGAAAATTCTATTGGAAATACACCTACCCACTCAATTAAACTCTGGCAACTCATACACCCCATAAATTTTGATCTAATCATTGTTACATGAAACATTTCTGCCGACGTCTGATAACCTATCTTGTACAATCGTTAATCTAGCAGCCTACAGTCTAGGGCATGTGGGAATCGGATATTTACATAAGCTTACATGGAACATGTGGAGACAACTTCTCATGGGTGGTTTTCTTATACTGCCTATAAGATTTTTTTTATGGGTGGAACACTTAAGCAAACTGTATGTGAAAATACATTTTCATGGGTGAAGCACTTAAGCAAACCATCGGTGAAATTTTTTTTTTATCACGGGTCGTTCATTTGAGTGAACTTTGTACAAGCGTTAATCCAGCCGCCTACAGTCTAGGATCTGCAGAAATCAGCTATTTACACAAGCTTAAATGGAGCCGCATGTGGAGACTCCTTTGCAGGGGTTGTTTTCTTCATAACACTGACTGTGAAAATCATTTTTCATGTGAGATCACTTAAGG